TGACTTTTGGGGTTGGTTTTTTAGTACTCTGTACTAAGATTATTTCTTTCTATTTAGATCCGAAGGAACAGTTTTATTTCCAATGTGTAAAAATCGCAAAACCCTGAGAACTCGATACGAACCATATAACACATAAATACCTTTAAGACTAGCGTATTTGTAATATAATATATGTACAAATTAAATAAATAATTTACACGAATTGCACTTGACGGCGACACGTGTGGCGCAATATGGTGTCTGGTAACCGACCTCGGAATCGCCGGTATCCGACACCCTTGGGCCAAAACTCCTCCTTGATGAAGGTCAACTGATAATCGGTCGGTATTCTCACCACAAACGAATTAAAATTCACATTCATTCAGGAATTCAGCCACTCTATACTCAGAGTGTTTTTGGCTTTAAACATTTGCGAGCCTTGTATTTTTAAATAAATGAAATTTTCTTTATTGCACATTCAATTTACAATGACAACACAGAACAGTAATGTAAGTATCACAGAGTAAGCCAATACACAACAGGCGGCCAATAAGGCCTGTAGCGCTAAGCAGCAATTTTGTTCTGGACAACCTTTTGTTAAACAAAGTCTAAGAAACTTTAATTTAAATATGTATTGAATTGATATTCAATTGTTTTTTTGTGAAATTACTCCATTACTCCACTAGTTTGTTATAATTCTTAATACAAGGCTAAAAAGTCGTTGAAAAACCAAATACAAAGATCCGACAAAGAGCACATAGAAAAATTAGTGAGATTAAATTCAAAAGATCATGGTTAAGGATGTGACGTTTAAACAGAAAAACATTTTGTCATTAATTTTTAATTCATCTTCAATTATATTTCAAATCCCCAGTTCTAAGCTTCATCAAATATGCTGCTAAAGCTAAGGATGCTCTTGGTATTTCCTATATGGCTGAGAATCTTCATGGTGCAGTTGATGAAGTCACATCAACATTAGTCAATCAAGCCAATCCATGTATATACGCCTAGGTCTTCCATATAATCTATTTTCTCAAGATGCAGTAATCCTAGATCTAGAACATCTTATAGCATTATCATGTCCTGGATATGCTTTGCAGTGGAATTCTGTACCTGCCTAGATCCATACTTCAATAATCAATAGCTCTCATAGAAGTCTGGTATCACAATAGTAGGTTTAGGTTGGTTGTTTCAAACTTTTTTATTTGCAGGCTCAGTGGCAGGATCTTGTGCCTCTGAATGAGCCTAATACCATATGGACAGCAGCACTGTCAGCAGCCACCCAACAAGTATGACATTATGCGACTTGCTACGTCTACCTGCAACAAACATACATAATCATTTAAGTATTTAAAATTCTAATTTAGCTTACAGTAAAAGAAATTATAAAAAACATGTAAACTGATTTAACTTACAGTTTAGGGCATAATCCATTATTTTATAACATTATAAATTCTCAATTCACGAGCTGATTCCGTGTGAAGAAGACTTGTGTGTGGTTGTGGGTGATTTGTGACACAAGATAGTGCCCACAGCAGAGAAGTGTTTGTAGTAAAGGTGGTCAAATTGTCTCGGTGCATCAACAGGTGGTCTTCGACCCATGTTTGGCAAACATGGCCACTGCTGTTCACCTAAAAGATGGGAAAAGCTTTAATGTCAACAAATCATGATCACTGTACTATACTGCTAGTTAGGCATTTAATTATATGTAAACAATCTTTATGAACCTTTTAAATGTAATATTATTTGTAAGAGTAACGGTAAAGAAAGACATGTAAGGAAACCTGTAGATCAACGTGGTGGACGTTGGTTAGCTAAGAAATAGGAGGTGAGTACTTACTTACAGGTTGTGGTGCAAGCCATTGACGAATCAATGACAGTGTCTGCTATATAATATTAACTGCCTCCGTGGCCGAATGGCTACCATGCCGGACTACCACGCAGAGGTCCCAGGTTCTATTAACTCTACCGGATATAATTATTTTGATTGAATTAATCATCCGGTACATAACGTTTTTCTATTTTTGATTATTTGAACCCATTCGCATTAATCGATTATAATTGAATCGATATTATATGTTGTTTGTTGACTCAATTAACTTAAGATTTCTCATTTTCCACACAGAGAATTAGGTTGATTTTTGTAAATTTTGAAATAGAAAAATATAACCCTTTTTTAAACCATACCTTAACTCATTACATTTTGGCCCAGATTGCCCCGTCTCCTTTTGATTGTTATTTATGATATTGTATAAATTTAACTTCAAATTTTTGTATTTATTGAGATTTTTTGTGAAATCTGATCTGATGAGATGTGATTATGAATACAAAGGTCCAACACAAAGATTAAAAAAAAATATTGTTAGAGCAATGCTACGGTGCAGCACATACGGGGGTTCATGTCCCACCGGGACAACGAAATTGTTCTGTGTGTTCGATCTTTGTATTCATAATTTAAATATTTTCTCTTTTTAAAATTGCGTCCCCAGTACTTTCTCCATATTATGTTCCCTTATGATGTTTACCTTCACTGTTACAGCTAAAATGATTAATAATTGGTCATACCGATATTTTATTTGTATAACACGGTTTCTCAGTTGTACAACATACAACGCCTAGCGTGTTTATTGATGCTGGACAAAGGTTACGTCGTCAAATACGCTTTATAAATCAACGAGGTGTTGTAATGTATCCCTTGAGGTGCGTACCTCCGTTACCATAACTATCGACTAAAATACCTACGTCAAGAGTTGAGGAACTAATATAAATGATTATCTCGTTTATACATAACGTGATTTCGGCTCTCTTAAGTAACAGTCGTACAATTGAACGATCTTAGTTTGTATAATTATTCTTTATTGCACTAAATAAAAGAAATATTAATTGTACAGAAAATGCGCAAAGGTGGACTTATTTCCAAAAGAGATCTCTTCCAGCCAAGTCAAGATAGTGCGAGCAAAGATCATTAGCGGAAACGGCGTGCAAGATTTAATTATATTTTTCACTCAGACATAATGTTTAGTAAGGAAATTCGAACGCCATGAAAATGTCAGGAAGTACAATTTTTAACCGACTTTAAAAAAGAGGAGGTTCTCTATTCGACTGTATTTTTTTGTATGTTACGCGATAACTCAAATTGATGAACCGATTTTGATGGTTCTTTTTTTGTTGGCAAGAGTGTACGTCAATATTGGTCCCATTTAAATTTGAAGAAAATATTCCACTCCTAAGGGTGGCAAACAATGGGATGAATCCGGTTTCGCGCACTTTCGTGTAACCGATTTCAATAAAACTTGGCAAATAGGTGGTAATTCCACGAACTTTTGAGGTGGGATTTAAAAAAAAAAGTTATTTATAAAGTATTCTGACACCTCTGAATCTCATTCGTATATTGACCATTACGTCATCTGGATGTTCAATTTCTTGATCTTCCGTTTTCTCCTTTTTCTTCGATATACCTTTTTAGATGTTATTAAATATGTTAATTAAAGAAAAATCAGATGAAGTCATCTTTTTTTAATATCTCAAATCGTGTGTACCCCACAATCTCTCGATTGATATTGATAGCTATAAGCGCGAGATCTCGTGTTTACGTTGCAGAGTTAATAAATACTTTACAAAGGTAGCAATACGATTTAATATTACATAACAAATATTTCAATTCTCACCTCGCACACCTCGCCAATCCAGATAATTTATTTTTATTTTATTTTTTTATTTGTTCGGGTCAACAGCAGTTTACATTAACAAGAGTTACAATTCAGGAATTATACTAATTTATTTTTTTTATATATAAAAAACAACTCAATAATTGTATAATTGTATGCCTGTGTCTATCCTTGTGAAGCGAGAGTGTGCACAAAAGATGCGCTAAGAGAGAATTCAAATTTCGCCATACAAATTTCAATCCTCGTTTCGCCTTGCCGGTGAAACAGCACCTTAAAGCTTATAATCGCTCAACTAAGATGCTAATCGATAGTTTAGAAGCGAAGCGCGTATATAGATATATAAATAACATTGATGAAATCCGTCGGTCGGTAGTACGAGTCAGTAATCGAATATGGCAAATTTATACAAATGTATTAGTACTAACTCATATTCATTCACCCTTCCGCGAATTGTATAGGATTTGACATCATTGTTGCTCAGTAGATATAAAGATTCATATCGCTTGTCTTAACTACTCAATATGTAACTCTTATAACCATGTCACACTGTGCGTCAATTGTTAAGTAATTTAATAAGAACAACGACTATTCTAGGTCACACGGTGATTCGTTCGGGGGTTGATATATTAGAGACGTTTCTAGCACATTCGTGATTATTCGGTTCTAGTCATGTCGCTAGTCACTAAACTAAACATTGGCAGAAATTTTAAGAAAGCACTTCATCGCACTTCGATTTACAAGGTATTGCCCGAGCCGGCTTAACTGCTCGATGGTCCCCACTCTCCACTACAACTTTTTCCATAATCTCAACGAAGTTCGGCGGTCTTTTTTATAATAACTTAAGTGACGGAACGAACAAGTTGTAAACCTGATGGTAAGCGACACGCCTGTCCATAAGTTGCAGTACCACTTAGAACTTTAAATGACAAAAATCTGAGGGGCACTGCCACTGCGCCCGACACCCTGAGACATAAGTTGACAAGTCCCATGTGCCTTTAATTTCACCAGCACTCGTAACCTTCAAAACCGGAACGCAGTAATGCTCACACTACTGCTTGGCGGCAGAAATAGGTAAGGTATGACAGTACTTCCCTGGACGAACTCTTTCACAAGGAGCTCTACTAAGTGCTACTAATTTCTGTATGATGATTGATTTGTTCAAAATACAAAGATACCGGGTGTTATATTTTCAAATCACTGGCGTGTGCTAATTCTGATTTATCTAACTTCCCAAAATGCCCTGTTACATTTTAACTCGAGATGCAGAAAAGGGGTATTATAGAATGAAACGTTCGACTTTGATGTCTTTGTGTATATTTTTATTAAACGGGAGTTTTTTCTATTGCTTTCCAGGACAGGGTACTGAACATCACGAGTCAGATAATGGACCAGCTTTTGGGAGACGAGCGAGTCGCGCGCGGTTTCCGAGTAAAGTTTCCAGAAGATGTTCTTCAGGACAATTTGGCTGGGCAGCTGTGGTTCGGTGCAGAGGTAACACGCCTGCTTTACTTAGAGCTTGTTTATTTAAAGCTGTGTAACTAATTCAAAGTTTTAGCTGAATTTTGTAACTTTATTTGATACTAATAATTTTTTTAACATTTATAAAATCTTCAACTAGTAATCTTGATCGTTGACGTTGCCTTACATTATCGTAGACAGATATATATCAAATTATATAGTAAAAAGATATAAATATATATCTGTGTACGTTCTCATATTCTTATGTTCAAGCACACGAACGTTAGGATGAACAAAAGATGACTTAAATAGTAGAAATTATAAAATTAATTTCACAGTGTATAATTATTATATTGTTAACCACTTACTAGTTACATGCCTACTTTTACCTTAGACTAGTATCCTTAAGAATTCTATACATATAACAGATATAGATTAGTATCCTTAAGAATTCTATACATATAACAGATTGTATACAACCCTTTGTTTTATATTACGCGGTCGCGGTAGAGGACACCGGTTGTTTTACTCTGAAATCGTTGTCAAAGATAAATATCGACCGTCTCTTATCTCGATTTTTTAAATTCTACTGCTAGAAACATTACAATAGAAACCACGAGCGTAAGATGGTATGTACTTTTGAAAAGTCACATTCAATTCCGCAACTAGAATCTTCGGAGCGTTCGATCGAATAATTTTCGTACAAAGAACAATGGCAAAATCATAGTGAAAATAATTCGTTAGCGTCTTCAAATGTCTTAATTACAACTTTGAATAAAATAAGTTCATTCGGTTTTTCAAATTATAATAACGGCCTACCTAAGTCTGGCAATAAAATATATTTAAAAACTCTAATGACTAATTAGTATGTAACCGGACGGATAACTACAACTATAAGTTTCTTAACGTTGACCGACATCTAGCCGCCGAAAACGGAATTTTAGTGCTATATACGAATATGGTCCACATTTAGTTCACGTGTACAAATGTACTGATTCGACCGATTTGTAATAAGCTCATAAAAGATTAAGTAAGTACTTTATAACAAAAAATAAAACCGATAATTTCTTCTCCAAAATGCCACGTGAGAAAATGGTCAAACTGACAAAAAAGTTCCCAAAATGAGAGATAGATGCCATGTTTCACAAAAAAATAATTTGTGTCCGATTTACCAGTGCAATAGTCTGTGGTATGTTGTTAATTAATTCAGTTTTTTGTTATGGCTTTACTTCATGCCTTTTGACCTTTATTTATTTATTTATTCATTTGGAACACCAACAGATTACACAGAAAAAATAAGATTAAAATACAATATTTGATAAGGCTCAGTTCTTATGTGCAAGCCAATTACAGGTATCCACATCACAAACCCACGGCACCATTCAGCTTCTATTAATTCTGTTTAAGGCTTCTGTACTTTATTTTGACATAATAATACACCGAATATATTTTATTCAATTACACAACACAAAATCTCCAAAAATTCCTGACTTCTCAGAATAGTAAACCCAAAACAAAATTCGTTCAGGAATTTCAACTCTATGTATTCAAAAATATGTGAAAATATTTTTCTTAAACAGACACATACAAATTTTGTCAACAAAAATTTATAAGGGAGTTTGCCATTGTCCTTTAGGCGATTATCAAACTGCACCGCGACGGAGCGCGGAGCTGCGTTTTTTGACGTTGTACTGAAGTACCTCAGTATGTATAACATGTATACAGGGTGTCCGGTAATGAATGTATCATACTGAAATGGCTTATAGCACAGCTTAAGACTGTTCCAAAAAAAATGCAAAAAAAAATCTATCCCATGTAGTACCTAAGGAATGTTTTTTTCTTTAAAGTTAATTATTTTTATCTTATTTTAGGTTTTTGTGCACTATGACTACAAATGAATGAATTTATTTGGTTTTTTGGTGTCATAATATTCTACGGTAACTGTGTCCTTAGATAAGCAGTAAATGGTATGACTAAGTAATGTACATTTAAAAAAAAAGTTTGACTTCATTTTTCAGAGAAATAATTTATTTTTTACGAAGTTTACGCGCCTTCTGTATAAAAAAAAAGTATGATAACCTGTGTGGCCAAGTACTTTAAAGTAATGTAGGTTTAATGAGGATTTCAAAATGATATCATTTCTCATTGTATCTAATGTAAATATGAAATTATTGCTATTAATGTGCAAACGGAGTAAATTTTACTAAAAAACTATGTTTGCAAAATTGGAACATTTCTTATCCTGAATTGTTCTTGACTATTGAGTTTTGATAAAAAATAATATTAGGCATTAATAAAACTTTATTTAAAACTTATTTACAGCAAAATTATACAAAAATCCAATCAAAGTAATTTTTCAATTGTTGCCTTTAAAATACCACGTGTGACCGTTATTTGCCACCTGCACGATAGCCACATTCCGCCCGTCTTTTGTTCATATGATAAGAAAGGTCAGAGTTGGACCAGAGGCAAAGAGTGACAATTAACAGCAAATGTAAAAAAAACGAAAAGGATTTAAGTGCATCATTCGATTTGTCTAGTTTGCCTCCCTTAGAGGTGGAATATTTTCTTCAAATTTAAATGGGACCAACACTCAGGTACCCTCTTTCAAATAAAAAAAAAACCGTCAAAATCGGTTCACAAATGCGGGAGTAATCGCGTAACATATACACAAAAAAATACAGTCGATTTGGCAACTCCTCCGTTTTTTGAAGTCAGTTAATAAAGTAAATCATTTTTAAGTTTAATTTTCCTTTATTTCAACTTCCTCGCAAGTGTAGGTCTAAAATCGTCGCCTTACTTTCTCAAACTCGTATTTTAAAGCACAAAGTTACAGAAATGCAAAAAATGGATTGTATATACAAATTTTGCAGGCTAATTTTACAACACATTTGCTTTTACCGATTCTTAAAATAATGCATCCAAATTACCCTTGATAAGAAATTTAAAATAAATAGAAAGTTTTGCCATCTCCTAAATAATCCCTCTTTGTGAGATACGAGTTTGAGAAAGTAAGTCATCGATACGCCACAACCAGCAATTACAAATGTTCGAGCCACTAAAACTCATTCTTTTTTAATGTCCCTCTCTTGTTTAATGACAATTAAGTAGGCATACTTACCGCCCTTGTAACACTATGTACTGGGACATTGACGTCAATAATGGTTATACGTGTCAAATGTAGATAATTAATGTTTATTTATTTACTTAATACTGTATGTACTAACCGTAACTAAAACACGTATGGCAACAAATTAAATGAGACTCATTAAGCCATTTGAAATGCACACCGGGTTAAATAGAAACTATATTTAACATGAGAATGTTTTTTTTTTTTTTTTTTTTTAATATATAATAGACACACGCTTGGCCACAATCTCACCTGATGTTAAGCGACGATGTGACCGACGATGGGACGCGTTTGCCTAAAAAATGCCTATTCACTCTAGCCTTGAATAGCCCCAAATTGTACTTTTCGGGAAATACAGATGCCGGTAGAGCATTCCACTCCTTTGCCGTACGCATCAGAAAGGAGGAGGCAAAGCGCTTAGTGCGAATAGGTGGAATATCAACGACATAAGAATGAAGTGCTCCGGACCTTCTAGTCGACCGAAGGAGGAACGGTGAGGGCGGAACCAAATTGAAAAGTTCCTGCGCACACTCTCCGAAATGTATCCGATAGAAAACCGACAAGCAGGCTACTTTTCTGCGATGATCGAGATTTTGGAGCTTCGACTCCACAAGAGGATTATTGTTAATAAGTCTCTTTGCTTTACGCTCCACCGAGTCCAAGGCAGCTAACTGGTATTGGGCAGAGCCGTCCCAAAGGTGGCAGCAGTACTCCATACAGGATCGAACTTGTGCTTTATACAGATTTAAAAGCTGTTCAGGTGTGAAGTACCGCCTGACCTTGAAAAGTATGCCTAGTTTTCTGGCAGCAGTTTTTGCCAAGCACTCGATGTATCGCCCAAAGTTGAGGTTGGATGATAAGTCCAGACCAAGTAGCTCAAGGTGGTCCCTTATCGGCACGGATACACCTCGGAAAGTCGGAGTAAGGTGTAGGGGACTCCGTTTTGATGAGAAAAGACACGCCTGTGTTTTAGCCGCATTAAACCTGACCCTGTTAGCATCTCCCCAGTCGGAAGCAGCTTTCAGACTCAGGTTCAACCGGGTGACCATCGCCTCTCGCTTACACCGGATCTCTTCACTGTTGTCTCGGGCGTCTGGCACATAACTCACCGCCACTGTGCTGTCGTCTGCGTACCCAAAGATACCGGGCATCAGCAGCAGGTCGTTGATATGCAGCAAGAATAGAGTGGCGGAGAGGACAGATCCCTGAGGTACACCGGCATTTATACCATGAGGAGCAGACGAGTAACCATCTACAACTACACGGATTGACCTATCCTTCAGAAAATCGCCTATCCATGTGCAAAAGCCAACAGGAATTCCGTAAGCTGGAAGCTTGTTTAACAGGCTATCATGCCAAACCCTATCAAAGGCCTTTGATATGTCGAGAGACACGGCAAGCGATTCACCGCGTTTCTCGACAGCCTCGCTCCATAAATGTGTGGCGTACGCAAGAAGATCCCCAGTAGATCGTCCACGGCGAAAACCATATTGTCGATCACTGAGGAGATCGTTATCTTCGAGGTATCCAAGGAGACGGCTGTTCAATACACGCTCCATAGTCTTACAGAGTATGGAGGTGATTGCGATGGGTCGATAATTAGATGGGTCGGCATGGCTACCTTTCTTAGGTACAGGCTGTACATTTGCAAGCTTCCAGGATTTCGGGACTTGTCCAGAACTCATAGAGAGAAAATGTGACAATATCTAACCTATACCATATAACATATATTTTAAGAATTACGTGGTTTTTGACCTAATTCAAAAAAAAGTTCTCAATACGACTTTTCTTTTGTATGTTACGCAATAACTCCGGCCTTTGTGAACCGATTTTGATGATTCTTTTTTTGTTGGAAAAAGGGTACCTCAGTATTGGCCCCATTTAAAATTGAAGACAATATTCCACCTCTAGTCTGGCACTGACACTGACGGTGTTGCCAGAGTTTTGTGAAGTTAATTCGCCAATTTATGTATGTTAAGTAACCGATATTCGTCCAAGCCATAAAATCACTAGAAATCAAGAAAAACAATTCTACAATTCTGTTTGCTGCCGGACCTTGGAGAAACTCAAACCCCCAAATGAATCCATACCTTGGCAAATATATAATATATATATAACTTGGCAAATAGAATGTAATACCACGAAATTTTGAGTTCGGTTTTTTATTCACTAAGTGATCATCACAGGTTCCAGGTTTCTTACTATGACATTGTAAGTGTTGGTGTTTTATTATTTGACTGCCTCCGTGGCCGAACGGTTACCATGCCGGACTGTCACGCAGAGGTCCCAGGTTCGATTCTCAGGCCGGGAGAAATATTTGTATGACCTACATTTATTTCTCTTATGAGTTTAGGTGTAATTTGTGGTTGTCTATGTGTGTATCCATGGCACCCGCGATACGGGGCGTCCCTAGTACGGGGCTATGGAGAGTGTGTGCGTTATTATTAATATCCCGACAGTTTCCAACGGTTACACGCTATACTGTACTGTGACCATAGTCACGGGTTGATAAGTGGTTGACTAAGGCTGCGATTTTTTAATAGAACTTCGACGAAGTAAATATGGCGAGCTAAGCAAGTTCTATTTACAAAACGATTTTAATAGTAATTTTAATAGTAAGACCCTCTTTTATTGTCGACGACTACACTCCTCTCAATTTCCTGGCGCGTTACCATTGTCACTGTCTCTGTTTTCCGACAAACTATAATCACGGTGTTTGTACGCGCTTTCTTGAATATCGGGATAATGAGAACAAATCACATTGGTATGAAACCTGGAAATAATGATGATCATAAGTATTATATACTCGTCGAAAATGAAAATACTTACAGGCGTTAAAAAAGTCAGACGTTACGACAATACTTGAACATAAAATAGTAACGGTGCCGCCATTTCTATTTCACCTATATTTCTTTACATACTAAGTACATTAAATCACTGCATATATTAGTGGAGTAGTAGGGTTAATGCCCTACGTATAGAATATACTTAAAAAGTAAGTTGAATCTAAATCAGATCAACAACATTTGAACTATAAGTAATTTTATGCTTGTGCCTCACTTGTCCAGCACGCATTAGTAGATACTAACGACAAGATAGTCGATAGCACAGATTACTTAATAGTTACTACGTAATAGATACATCACTCTCATATAATATCGTAAATACCTGCTCTATAATCTGACTAATAACACCAGGCGTTCACTACGAGGAAAAAGGGACCTAAGTACGCGCACAGAGTGCTGAAAATAACATTGCTCGCCATGTGCAGTCGTGCTGAACCGAATGCTGGGGTTGTACAAGAATTGTAATGTAAATGAAAGACTTGTCTGAGCGCTTGCACTGTATCGGCGAAACACTCCGCGGTAGGCATTTATCGCGATACCTCGAGTGGCGAAGCCCTGTCTATAGTATAATTAATGATTTTTCCATGGGATTTTGTTATACTACAATAAGACAAGTAGGGTAACCCCATAAAACGTAGCAGTGTGGCTTGTGCTGCGTACACCTTCGATTAATCTCGCCAGGCACTTGCGTTCATGACACTGGTCGGCACAAAGCGCCTTTAATTATTATGCGAATGTGTGCGTTGGTACACGGCGCGCGGCGGTTGCGCACACATACAAGCTGCTCTGTTACTTTCTACGGAGTTACCACACTTCTCATCATATATCATTTTATTATGCCTTTAGCATACAACAGTGTTATTACATTCACGTAAGAACAAAAGCACAGAGACAAACAACAAAAGAAAGGGTACAATGCCTATTTGACACCACTCTTCAAACTAACTAACAATGTACTAAATTCATATAATTTCTACATTCCAGTGTCTAGCAGCAGGTTCATCAATAATGAACCGCGAGGAAGAATCAGCAGCCATGCGGCCTTTAGCTAAAGCGTTGACAAGAAGTCTGGAGACTGTGCGGTCATTATTGCGGGAACAGTGTCTCAGGCCGCGCGGTCTTGCGCTATCGCATCGAGATGACATGCTACTGGAAAGTTTGAAGATTTTTGACCGGTAAATGTTGTCAAGCTGACTTTTTGTTAGACATATTTACACGAAGGTAAACATGTGGTTGAGAATGGAACACCAAAACTTAGAAATTAAGTAGGTCAGGCAAAGTACCCTAAATAGACGGGCATTTATGAAGAGCTTCATACGAATATAGCAAGTGAAAAAAATATGCCAAGTTTTTTTAATATTGTGCATATTCTCGGGTTCCTCGAAGTTCTTAATGTGTTCTTTAAATTTAATAATGTTCTAGACAGTCACACCAATTCAGTAGTCTTAAATTAAGAAATTACATATGCTTTGAGTACCAGAACATTGGATTCCTTCCAGAACCAATTAAAATTTATTTCCCAAATTGCTCCTGACTGACTGACATTGCTATTGACTCTCGAACCGGGAACCATCTTGTGTCTACAGTGCAAACGTGGTAATACATACAAATAATGATATGAAAGAATTTATTGCGAATGTAGGAAGATAAAACATCCTAGATATCTTCCATATCATAGATTTCTTACAAATGGCGCTACGGCAAAAACGCCGTTAAAAACCAAAAACAAAGATCTGCAACAAACACATAAAAAAATCCGTAAGGCTTTCTGGTTCGTTCCGTATCTCAATTGGAGAGCGTCAGGTATGCTGAAGGCGCTTGTTCGAATCAAAGGAATTTTTCGTAGTGTTCGATATTTGTTTGAATGTAACAAACTATTAGTAGCAATTTCCCAAAAAAAATAATTGAATATGGTGGTAGTAAAACATCGTGATATGCAATAAACTTAATATTAGGATATGAACAGTTAAATAAAGAGATAGCAGTCAAGCCATTATCTAAAAATAATCTGTTAACCTCATAAAATAGTGATTGCGTGTAAGTAGGTTTTTCTTTGTCATTATGATTTTAGTGATACCTTTTTAATCAAACATTAACTGAGAGTTGTTTTAAAATCTTCTTCTAAAAGTTAATTCTTTCTAGTTATCAAACTATACCTATTTCTTTTTTACTATTTATACTCGTTGATAAGACTTTAGCTTATAGGCAGTGTTGGGCGTTAATCAATTAAATTTCTATCAGAAAATCAATCAGATTAAACAATCAATTCAATTGAAATAAATTGAATTGATTTTTTGGTCCGGAACCGGTTGGGGGTTCGGTTGCGGGGTCGGTTGGGGGGTCGGTTGGGGGGTAGCTTGGGGGGCCGGGTGGGGGGGCACCCCCTAACCGACCACCTAACCCACCCGCTGACCCACCCCCTAAACCCATCCCCTAACCCCCCAACCCAAACCCTAACCCCCCAACCCAAAACCTAATCCGTTTTTTTTGCAAATGCGGAAGCATCCCCTTGACCGCATCAACGCCCCAATAATGCTTCCGATGCCCCTACCGCTCCCCTAGGCTTCTACAGCGCCCACTGGGCGGTAGCTACTACTTTAGGACACTATCTTTTAGTTGGTTGATGGTATGTTGTAAAGAGTGCCTTGTTTCAGACTATTCGCCGAATTTGAGCTGTGCTACGTGAGCGCGATGGTGAACGTGAAGACGCCACACGAGTTCGAAGCGCAGCAACTCATCTGCGTACTATTTTCAGAGAGCCTGAGGAGAGCGCTCAAACAAAATCTCTTAACACAGGAACAGGTAATATTTGGGTATCGATACTATGATTCTGACAACATAATGTGACATATCTAAATATATAAATAATCTCAAATACTTTGATGAATAGACTGACAACTCAGCCTTTAATGAATATAAATTTGAGTCTGTTAATTGCTCTAAATTCAATATTCTTTTGCTATATTGAAATAAAATTTATCAAATGCAGTACATACAAATTTTATATTTGTATGCCTGCATCGTGGATCTGTATCACGGTTAGTAGAGTATAATTAAGAAATATAAATGAAATACTGAACAATTTTGAATTTGAGGCACTCATATTCAAACAATCATAAACACAACACCGAGCGAACGCTTCAATTCTATAATGAATGGCGCGTGTGACCTGCGTTATGGAACTCGAGTGTACCGCGAGATTGTGCGAATGGCGGGCTTTACACAGACACTCTATCGCATATGTGATAGTGATGGTCTACCCTGCGCGATTAGTATTACACGGACGCTCTTTCCATTGCAACAAAAAGGAACACGAGCAATTGCGCACGAAAAAACGTTAGTTTAAAAAACTTCAAACAGGTAATTGCGCCCTGGCGCTCCGATCACGCGCGATAGGTACAGTGTAAATGGAGCCCCATTTACACTGTAACTCTGTGTGCGTCCGTATGCGGCGCGGTGCAGGCGTGCACCAGTGGCAAGGCATGAAAATTTTCCTTGGTAAAGCCGAAACTTTTTGAAAAAACAAAAAAACACTTACCTTATCAAAAATTTCTTATTCCATTAAAAAGGCGCTTTTGCGACATTTAAACACAACACTTGTTAGTGCACAAAATACTAGTTTCATGGTTAACTTATTATAAAATAACCATAGCTTTTAAAGTAATTTTACAGTTTAAGCTGCCCGTCGCGATACGAAAGTTTGTAAACAAACTCATGAATGCTAAGTGTTGCTATTTTAATTACCTACGAATTACCATGACCTTCTACATACATTCGTTACGTAGTCTTATTAGAAAGAAACACCCAATTAAATATAGATACATATGTAACACTATTTATTGTAAAGATTTACAAAATAGAATAGAAATTAACACAGACGACGCCGCAAGTACAGCAATTTGTATGAAAACCGAGCGTGCCACCTTTTATGTATCCAACATGAAGTCACAATAACTATTTAGTGTTGGGAAACCTCCTTCCGCGCTAAATCGATTGATTGAACGGTTTACACATATTCCATTCAATTAATCGATTCAAGTATTCGTTGATTACAATTAGTCGTGAAATATTAATATAGTAGAAAAATACCAAAACAAGATAGTTATGTCCTTCACTAAAAGTTGTTTTTATAAAATTTTGATTAATTCATAATTTAACTTTAATTATTAATCAAATTCAAATATTACAATTATTGTCGTTGAAATAATATAAGCTTATTATATAACTGTCTTTTTGTAATAGAAGATCTTATCGATTGACTTAAATAATGAAAACGCACATCAATATATGAACTTGCATCTTCCTTAATTAAATTTACTAGATGGTTTTCCGTCGGTGATTGATCAAATTGGTGAATGGCAAGACAACTGAAAATGTTACTTCTGACAAAATATCTAAAATCTTACTTAATCAGAAAAGGTTTACTTAATGTCGGCCTCGTGTAAAGTTTTTGTGATTTGATCATGATTTCTCGGATTTCTAACTCTGCCACTCTGCGTATTTGGATAGCATCTTTGGTGGGATAAACTAGACCACCTTCGTCCTCGAAAGCAACAAACTCATACGTATGACCAACTCCAGGTTTTTGTAAAGACAGCGCACTGTTAATTTTTTGCATTATATATTTTTTCTATTACTCGTAATAATTAAATAATAGTAATAATTAATAAGTAATTATTTGCTCACTATATTCGGACATTGAGGCAACGTGCTGCAAAAATTATCGAAATTACAGATACTACTAATAAGAGATACTATAAAACTGAAACAAAACGAAACGTTACTAATACTGAACGTTATAACAAAAGAGTTTTACAATATTTCTATAATATTGCTGTCATAATAATTTTCGTCCCTTTGTTTTCAAAATCGATCAGAATCGTGAACAGTGTTTTGCTAACGTATACATCACTAAATGTTAAATTTGGCCAAAAAATGCACAAGCGGCCGTACCACAGACTGAATGCATTATGCAAAAGTGCGTTCGTTCGATGTTCATGGCATATTAACAAAGGATCACAAATATATCGCACCAAGTAAAAGCCGCAATGTATTACAAAGCATGAGGCGTACACTGGGTTGCATACTTGTTGTTTACATATTTGTTTTTTCGAAATTCGTACAAAACCAAAGTAATTGTTTTTAAAATAAATTATGCATCTTCTGATTACAAAATCACTTGCCCGTGGAAGGAAACGTCCCTGTTTACCCACACTGTAACCCACAGTTATGGTGCTTTTGCAGTTTATAATGGCACAATTATGCATTCTTCGCATTTTCGACTGGTGTTTATCTACGGTAACGTTCGAGCGCGTTCTGAAGTGTAGCAGTGGCAAGTAAGTGAATTTCACTTACTTTGGCACGCGAAGTACGTACACTTGCGGCGTCTATCTAGATATGTCTATGGAAATTAACCATATTTTGTATTAATTTGCTATAATAGTAATTTTGTTACTTTATTTTAAGAAAGTTTTATATTTGGCAACGATTCTGATTGCTTGTTAAAACGAATTAAACTATAAGTTGTTGGAATAAGGTTTAAATTTAAGTGAACGCTATTCGGCAATAACTCGAAATAGGCCGGCTTCTCGGCCGCCATTTCTTTAGATGTTATGTATCGCGGATTTTTGCGAATGTGTGTGTATATTTTGATGGGTGCGCGTAGATTTCGTGAATCAGATAGAACTCGCTGATCCGCCGGCTTACCTCACGCTGATTGGTTGAGATGCATCGACACAAGTTATTACGCGTTTAATAGTGAATATTTTGAATAAAAGTTTTTTAAGTGGTGGGGTATGCGCACTGCCACTGGTAATACATACGCGGAAAATTTTAGGCAATCCGGTGGGAATCGAGTTATATGGACGCCTCGCCACTGGCGTGCACATATACAAACCACGCTGCTACGTTTGTATGGAATTACCATACTTGTTTTACACTATGCTTGTAGTGCTTGGAGAAGTTTTAGATTGAGCCGTTTTAACCAGCATCGATATATATCTACAATTTAACCCATACCCTATTATGTATCGAATCACAAGTAAAGGTGAACAGGAATTTAAAGACGATTTAGTTCTTTGTACTGAATGAACGTGTATCAGTATGTACTCCAAACACGCATGCCACTCAGAAGCGATGATAAGGTGTCTTTAGCCGAGTAGTGATTCACTCTATCAACTCATATACCTACTAAGTAATTAATTAGTAACGCTCTCTTTTTGAAGAGGCCTTTAAGTATGCTATAGTAAAAACTGTGAATAATTAGACACTTCAGTCATAAAATGTATTCCATTATTCAATTCCAGGTGGACTCCTACGATCCAGCGCTAATGTTTGCAGTACCCCGCCTCGCGATCGTGAGCGGTCTCCTCATCTATTCCAACGGCCCGTTGAGCATAGACAAGTCTCCAGAAGAGATGTCAGATATGTTCCGTCCCTTTCGCACTCTGTTACACAAGATACGGTCGCTTTTGTGGACGTTGGACAGAAGAGAATTGATGGCGTTGGAAAGATTGCTGTGTACTAACGAGGATCTTACCAGCTTGGCTGGACTTGACTTGCAAAATGGTGAGTTTAATTTTTCCTTCACAAAAAGGGGCTCACGATAAAAAGGCAAAAACACAGATGTGCTGCGTTTATTTGATATCCGTCAATTATCGGGCAGTATCTTGTTCGCGTTGTTAAGCCCTTTAACACTGCTACCGTTCCAGCTTATCGTTCGCTTTAAAGAATAGTTCAGAATCAAAATAGTTTTTAGGCTCCCTGTAAAAGAGATCGACCAGGGAAGTACTGCCACCTTACCTATTTCTGCCGCCAAGTAGTAATGTGAGCATTACTGCGTTCCGGTTTTGAAGGGGAAGGGTACTGGTGAACTTACAGGCACGTGTGACTTGTCAACTTATGTCTGCGGGTGACGGGCGCAGTGGCAGTGCCCCTTAGATCTTTGGGAATTAAACCTCTGAGTGGCATTGCAAATGGTATAGACAGGTGTGTCGCTTACCACCTGACACACGACTTGTTCGTCCCGTCACTTCGTATCATAAACAAAAGAAAAGTTTGCTGTCGTATTTCAATTGACCTTAGAGTTGAATGAGTAACGAGAATCATTAAAATGATGTATATGTTATAGTTTATTATAGACACTTAAATAATAAAATATGTCCTAAATATATTTAAAAATAAAATTGAAAAATAAAAATATTTCATATTTTTTTAAGGATTGTTTTGGCCAGAACTAGCTCACGTAGTGTGTCTCATTTTGAGTTAAGTAGTAATCTTTTGACTGTTTATTACAATATTCTAGCGATGGTTTTTTTGACGTGTAGAGAATCAAATTTTACGTTCAGTAATGATATAATATTAAATTTCACATATTTTGAGTTACAACACTATTGTAATAATAGCAGTGCGATATATGTCGGGAAAATGGAATGACTTCGTAAATACTTATGATGTAGATAAAACATTGTGTTTTTGCGGTGTGTAATCTTATATAAATAACTTAAATAACCAAATTCCTTAACGTGTTTCAGGAACAGATGAGAGCAGCGATTCATGCCAGTACCCCGACATCGGTGAATTTGTTTCCCGCTTCTACGCGGACCACGCGCACTGCAGAGACCTCTATACCCAGTCGAGGTATATTTTTATTCTAACATCTCTATTTTAAATATAAAACAGAAGTAAATTCTTAACAATCAGATAGCTGGTCAAAGTTGATTGTTTAAGTGTTCCGTTTTTTTAAGTGGCTACAGTTATCGTATAGCATAATGCGCTTTCTTTTTAGAAAAAATATTAAACGGAATTGTAAATTTCTACTTTGATTGTTATACTTATTTACATTCGGTGTCTATATTAGACAGAAATCTATGATGCCTTTCATAGCTTAACAGCTTTAACAGTTCCAGTTTAGTATAAATATAGTAAATGTTCATATATGTAATGAAATACACCAGTTACTTAGTCTAAAGCCAGATAATTCTAGAAATAGTAAAGGTACTGTAAATACCTAGGTACCAGAGTTAACTCTGTGGGCACTACCCAGTAAATCCATACCAGAAACCATTAAAGGGTTCCTAAATTGGTTTTCACTAGGAATCCTCACCACTGCGTCACGGAGGTCGTATTTCATCTAGGATTACTTGTATCGATTGCGATCTATGTGGCTTGCATATTTGTTTTTTAACATGTGTTCCTATTCAGTTCCAGCGAACCAACGATAACGGAGAGCGACTACCTGCCGGACAACATCGAAGTCATGACGCCCATATTAGACGGTCTCAGAAGACTCAGTTCCGAGCCCGAGCCCGAATCTCGGCCAGCTTCGGCACATGACCGAACTAGAAAGCCCAGTCGGGCCGAGTCCAATGACCTTTCCTCACTAAGAAACCTGTCGACCAATGGACTAAATATGTTCGATCCTCTCGTCATAAACGCGGCGACATCTGCTGGTGATACTAATAGACAACTCCCCGATCACGAACTCGTTACGAGTCTTAACGAACAAGTGTCGGAAATTGCCGATCGTCTCTCTTCCATAGCTGCGAGTGACGTAGATATTTTGGATCATAACCATATGCGAAGTGCATCTACTAGTGATGTACCTACGTTGATATCTACTGACGACGAAGCGTACGGTTTCGGTGGACCGAGGAATGAACAGCTTAGCTGTATGCCTTCAACTAGTCATGGATACCTTATACCTAACGCAATAAGCCAGGAACCTGTAGTGATGTCTCTGTCACACAATAATTCAGCCGTCTTTAACCCAGAAGATGATAATCACGGTGCAATAAGGAACACAGATCTCCCGCGTATGATACCCGACAATATTGACTCACAAATCGTAAACACTAATATATGTATCGCTAATGCTAACTTAAGTTCGCTATTACTAACAAACGAGGAATTTAGAAATAACTTTGTAGATAACGACGGTGACAATACAAGTTTCCATTCAGCCAATATGAATTTAGAGAGGGAAGAAGACAGAGTAAAGTTTATGCTTGGATATGAGAGTGATCACGAATCACCTGTAGACTCGGGGGTCAGTACTGAAAACGCTAGTTTAGATAGATCGCCCGACACAGACCAAAGCAAAGAGTTAAAAGAAAATCATTATATGGAACAGAACAGGGTACTAAAGAGTCCTGACGGTGACCGAAAAGAAACGTTACTAGAGAGTTCGTTTTCCGACGTAAATAATGAGAGTGTAAATATTAACTACGTCGAAAACGAAATACAGAAGAACGAAGCGGGTTCGTCGTTGCAAACGCACGAAGCGGCGAATTCTTCACGTATACACGACTGGGGGGCTAACACTGGTGACGACGAGGAATATAGGAATATTGATGAAGTTATAACAGAGTTACGAAGGCATAGAGAGAGTGATAAAAAGATTAGTTCGTTAGTTGAAGAAGACAATAATAATCCCGAGCCTAATTCGTCGCAAAGCAGTTGCAAGAAAAAAGGCAGGAAGAGTGGTAAGACCAAACGAAAGAAGAAAATGTGGTCGCCTGGCATCGTGATTTTAGATAGTCGATCGCAGGGACAAAGCCCTTTGAGGCTTAATTTGGACCATTTTGTTGACGAGAGGTAAGTCGTAATTGTGATTAAAATTATAGACTTACATAGGTACTAACTTACATAGGTTCCTCACAGATAGTGCTACGGCAAAAAAGCTGTTTATATATAAAAAAAAACAAACATCGGCGACAAGCACATTCGTTAGGTCTGCTGATTCCTTCCGCAGCTCAGTTGGGAGAGCGATTAGCCGTTAGCCCCGGTCTGACAGACAAGTGCTTGTTGGAATCGAGTCGAAAGAATTTTTTATAACAACTCCAAACTAGACAAAGATTATTTACTCGCTGCTCGGTCGTATATCGTCGGAGCGGAAGAGTGAAGTTGCGGTTTCTCTCACCTGCTAAGTGACGTACGCACGTGTCGCGTGCTCATGCATCGATAAAACAAATCGGTGCGGTACCTTTTGAGTCGTGTATTGTCTGCTGTCGTTTAAATGTCGCAACCTTTTTTTACTTTAATACAATTCACTGTTTGATCGTTGACTCAATTTGGTCACAGTTTGGTCCTAATGGATAGTTTTTATAAAAAGCATATTGGATTATCACATGTCGGAACTGATATTACGGCTCAATCATGTATTATGCTATGCTCGTACCCTATTGGTAAGTGGGACAGAGAGCGCAATACCGCTGTCCCACTCCGATAATTGATGTTATTTAAAAAGCAGCTTATATACAACAGATGTCCTTATTTATAGGAAGCAAATTTTCCAGACCAGTTACATTGAAAACTAGTGTCTACTAATGCAAGGGGGAGCAACCAAGAAATATTATTTAATATGTAGTGTCCTACTATACGAGTACATACAAACATATCATCACGTCTGTCTTCCACCGAAGTAGACAGAGACTATGGACCTCCAATCTCTCTCATAAATCTCTTCATACATGCCTGTTTATTCTTGGTAATTTTAACCCGGCCTTTTTTAAGGACATCCTCAATCTGATTGAGGTATGTTCACCGAGGTCTACCTCTCCCCACGCATCCACATTCGCTCTGTAAATTTGTGCCGTCAATCTACCAATATTCATTCTTTCTACATGACCAAACTATCGAAGCATCCCTCTCTCTATCCTTGTCACTGCATCATCTTTCACACCATAACGCTCTTTTACTATACTGTTCGGCATTCTATCTTTAAGACTAATACAGCACATATTACGCAAAACTCTCTGTACGACTATAGTACACTACATATTGAATACTAACAGTAGTGTCTACATACAGATAACAACAATTATGTAAAACATATTTTACAATATGAGATATGGACTTTTTTTAGCGGAACTTCTTGCGGCGCGTCGGAATGCGCAGATGACGAGCAAATCGCACTGGCGCTACAGGCGCAAGAACTCGCCGCCAGGCAGCAGGCCCGCGGCAAGTTCAAGTGAGTACGGTTTTCATTCTTTTTCAACTCCTGTACTTTAATCTGTCAATTATAATTTCATATACCATTGGACAAAGGCGCTCTTTTTAGTTCTGAACCAAAATTCTGTTGCCTATGGTACTCGCTACTGAAGTGAAAAATTTCATTAGGTATAGTTCTGTATACATAACTATAATGAGTTTCAAAAAAGAACGTATTTTTCCTAATTAAAATCGTCTCCTTAAAAGCGTCACTATGTTCCTGAATAGAGTAACGTCACTATTTTCGTGAAATTATTCAAATTTCTTTATTAAATAATATCTCAAAATGTTACATAATAAGTAAAAGGGCGTAACCATTTGGCAAAAAAGAACGATTTAAAAACAATATAAAATATCAAATATGTCGCCACTCAAACGCTCTACTGTCTCCTAATTGGTTAAAATATAAGCGGTACTTGGCCAATCACGGACACTTCTATTCTATCTCTTTCGTTGTTTGATTTGTAGCGGTTTGGTTTTCATTTGAGTTTGTTGTCGTGGATTGTTAACAAATAATCTTTAAATATTGGTTGTGTTTCATTATATTAATTTACTCGTAGAAAAATATTGTATGTATACAATTATTACTTAATCTTAGCCAAATTTCTTTGTCTCGTAGATCACGTGTCAAGTTTTCACAAATTGATCAACTTGAAATACGTGTTAACTAAATACATACTTCACATATTTAAGTAGATTTTTTTGCGCAACATGTTTCTAACCAGTAACCACGGACTGGTACGAAACTTGTCGAGCAAAAATTGAACTTCAATACGTGAATCATATGTCTGAGCCTCATGGTAGTTTTCTATTTAAAACAATGCCACTCACACCTTTAAATCGCAACAAAGATCTGGGGTACGGGGTCTGGGGCGCCTGTTGGTGTCCTCGACCTGTCTAAACGGGATCCACTCGTGGGGGTCCACGATAGTAGACAACCAAATTATTTTTTCGTTGACATGGTCCTGTCGATATAGACCACTTTGAGAATTGTCGGTGTATTGTGAATAAAAACGTTTAATAAATGCATTCTATATTAAATTCCAGGTCAAGCGAAGACCTTATCCACCGGCTATTCGTATGCATAGCCGGCGTGGCGGATCAGCTGCAGACGAACTTCGCGGCGGACCTTCGCAACATCCTCAAGTCCGTCTTCCTCATGAACCAGACGCCAGACCCGCCGGAAACGCCCGAGCCGACGGAGCTCAGTGACAAGCAAAACACTATTGAGTACGAAGTTACAGAGGATCAAGTCATACAGAATGGTACAGTACTATTCTCTCATATTTATTTTCCTCAAACATGCTCGGAAATGATTGCATTACTTTCAAAAAACCCTACAATGTATGTAATTTATGAAGTGTGACAATCCATTACTGACCGCTGCTTTAAACTTTAAAATAATTGTAACAAACGCCTATGTGAACAGACAAAAAAAAAAAGCCTCTGTGTTCATTACAATCAGTATCCGTAATTGAGATAATTTAAAATAATATTGTCTATAATACTTATTTTGCGTTTAATTATGATACACGAATATACTTGCGCCATATAATAAAAAAAATGGCGGTAAAATAAATGACAGTAGTTTACATAATTTAAATTTCTCGCGGTTACGGAAGCGATATTTGAAATTAATTAACAAAATATTTGATAGGAATAAGAGTGATGTTAACTCAATGGAGAAATGGTTGGTTTTTATTTGGGGGGTCGGCAGTTCGAATCCCTGGGCATGTGTCGATGACTTTAATTTTTACGCTCGTAAATGTGTAGCAATACCTCTTACTAACTGAGTTATATGGAATGATAATAGTAAATAAATAAATAACGCGCCCAGTCATAGCCCCACACTAGGGAAACCCTGTATGGTGCCATGGACACACACATAGACTAAAAGTCACGAGAGAAATAAATGTAGGCCATACAAATATTTCTCCCGGCACAGGAATCGAACCCGGACCTCTGCGTGGCATACCAGAATGGTAACTGTTCGGCCATGGAGGCAGTTTGATGATGAATAATGATGTATGTTTATAGGATGTCAAATGTCAAGAATTTAGAAAACCTTCCAAGCTAAACAATGTGCTGAAACTGCATTATACTGCCTATAGAGGCAAAGTACATAAAATTGATATTGAATTGCAGGCAGTTCATTCGATAGCGTGTACTCGGCCGAAGAAGTGTACGCAGATAGCACATCTGAGTCTCTCCCGTCAGAGGGCCGACCTGCGCCCGCGCCGCTGCCACCGCCTGCGCCGCTGCAGGCCTCCATCTCCATCGGAGACTTGACCTTTAGGTATTTTTCTAGAAACGTCCAATCTTTTGTGAAATGAGCTGTGAAAATTCTACATACCATGTCTATGACTGAATGTCGTAACAATGAAATACACGACTCGCAATAGTCTGCTTGAATCGAGACCAGTTATGAGTCTGACGCAAGTGTCTACTTGAAGTGGTCATTGCCATTCTCACTCTAAAAATTCGATGGTAGATAAAGTAATACTATTAAAGATGCACATGCGCATCACCGTAATTGATCGATTAGTAATTGATTGCATTTCCACAATGACGATTTGATTTGTTGTGGTCACTTGGTTTTTATAAAAACGATGAATTTATTCGTTGATACAAACAGATACATAATATAAAAACGTTAACAGTAAAAAAACATCGCAAAGTTGGATCCATTTATGAAAATAAATATCACCAACTTTTACCACTTAATGCAGAAAAACTGGTCTTCATCCACCATAATTTGCCTCTATTGAAATTTGAGTATACTAAATTCACAAATAACGTTATCTCTAACTTCATAGTTTTTTCAGTTACAAGTAATAAACAGATTGTCAACGATCCTGTAGTTGCTGTATATTCTATTACTATCATCTTTAATCAATAAATCAATTTATTTGGCGTACTGATTATGAATTTTTCTCAATTTTAAACATCCGGTATCCGACCGGATATATTTCTACTAATCTGTATCCGGCCGGATAGTAAAAATAGGCAGGATACTGGATAGTTACCGGATGACCGTTTCATCTCTAAATATAATTCAAATATTGAACATGAGCTAAAATTATTTTCTGGACTTAGACAAATATGCATGCATATCAATAGATGCTTGACATTGGGACATTGTATCTTACAAACTGAACTAATATAGGTAGATGGCGCTAAACATAAGAAAGCGCCATCTAGTTGATTTGTTTGTTATGAAAAATGAGTAGCTTTGGTAAATTGCAGCTTGTCAATGTAAAACAATTACAAAAATAGCTATTTGGTCCTCGTCGCGACATCTGGTGTAACAATTGGCACTAAATGTCTTGTATCGCGATTAGCAGTCATCTAGAGTTGTGGGTCCCTGATACAGAAGTTGTAAAAACATGATTAAAACCTGGGCGGGTTGATTGGATTTTTACCCACTGCCCATCTCTGGCTATGGTTAGGACCTGACTTAGATGGTCCCTGTGCGCATTCGCTCGCACGGATCAAAGTGCCCTTCTCATATACCCTAAGGGTCGGTAGAGTGGGTTACTATAATGAAAACTAACGTAGAAAGCTATGGGGCTGCCCATCTCTGGCCTCACTGCATTGCGACCTGCAACTTGTTTGTGTCAATCGCAGGGAGCGGTCGTCGTCGCCGGTTGTGGAGCGCGCACCCGAGTGGGTTCCCGACGTTGCAGCCGCTGCCTGCATGCGGTGTGCCGCACCCTTCACCGCCTTCCGTCGCAGGCACCACTGCCGGCACTGCGGTACGGATTTTCACACTCTATTTTCCTTTACATAAAAGACATTGCCTCCTTCAGTCGACTTTATTTATGTTAATAAAAATGAAGGTAAATTATTTCCTACTCCGCGAACCCATTGAGTGTTTGTGTTGAATATTTTTCCCATGCTCTGTATAAAATAAGTAAAATATATAACATAAACGCTACTACAATCACAAACACTACCACCAAAAATATACCCGACACGTATTTCGCCTCTCTACGAGGCATCCAGAGTAGTTATTGGATAAGTTGAAAAATTGTTAATAATTACACTATACACTAGATAGATATTAAAATGTTTTATTTGAAATCTAATCCGGCTATTGTTGTTGAAATGTATATGAATAAAATATGATGTTGATACTAGTAGACCAACTGTCAAAATAAGAATAAAAAATGCAATAACGCAATTAGTAATCATTAGAATGTCATAACATTCACAATACAGACATTTTTTGGGAAAATTTTATCTTTACAAGCTATCGATAAAACTATCGACAATAACTTCATTACTATTTGAAATTTTATGAATACTGGTAATCCTACAAATGTCATTTTACTCCGTCTTTAAAAACTTGTCCCTTATCACACATTCAACATAGTACTGGATTTCAGGCAAAGTGTTCTGCGCATCGTGTAGCTCCAACTCCATCCCGCTGCCGCGCTTTGGCCAGCTGAAGCCCGTGCGGGTCTGCGACGAGTGCTTCGCCCACAACGCACTGGTCTGCCGCGCTCCCTCCGCCACACACGCCGTCCCCTCGCCACCCGCGCAGTTGCGGTGAAATTCCGCTCTTATCTACTCGCACTAAAGGCTTGTTTACATTAATTCATTTTAATACGTTTCGGTGTCTTTCAATTCCTCAATACATAAAAGAAAACCTACATTGACAACAGGAACTATATTAAATAACAAACTGATATATAGACGATCCGTACCAGTACGATTAAGATAGTTCTGGAATCCAGCTACTGGATTGTAACTCATCATTAAACATTTATAAAGACAAACATAACATCAAGTCAAAATTTGCGTGCAGTAGCAACAGATTACGAAAATAATTGTAACTTCTTATAAAAAACCGACCTCAAAAGTGGTGGAATGACATCTATTTGCCAAGTTTCATTGAAATCGTTTACCGGAACTTTCCGGTAACACTTGCACGAAACTGGATTCATCACCTAGTTAGCCACCCTTAGAGGTGCAATATTTTCTTCAATTTAAATGGGACCAATACTGAGGTACCTCGTTCCAACCAAAAAAGAATCATCAAAATCGGTTCACAAATGCGTTATCGCGTAACATACATACAAAAAAATTGTAATTCTCCACCTTTTTTTTAAAGTCGGTTAAAAAGAAGTAAAAACGCTATCATGTTGAAAAACGAACTACTATTGGTTGATTAAACACAGCTTCTACGCTCCAGTTTAATATGTAACGGTAATAGTGTGTTACTGTAAAACGTGGCATGTGCGTTGCGATACCACTCTTGTAACGTCATAAAGTAGGTTGTGTAGTCCGAAGTGAAGGCTCATGTTGATTTGTCTTACTTTTTTAAACTCAACGTCTCATAAAATTACTTCATTTAATTTTTACTTATTGTGGGAAATGACAGGAAGTACTCTGAGCCGCGAATGGTGCCTTTAATTATAAAGTACGATTTCAAAAAGTTGAATTTTTGTGGAAATGAAAATAAAAAACCAATACTTTTTTCCAATCAAATTTAATTTAAAATTTACATCAGCCAAATGACGTATACGAGTAAAGCCACGTGCGTTATGTAAATATTGTTGAATTTTGTCTGTTTCTCAAAAATAACAATACGAATTTCGTAACTTCATAATTGTGGGTGTTATATGAAACATACAAACCTTAATTTTTTTAATATTGCTTCGAAGTGTTAATGGCGTAACGTAATAATTCCTAAACAATAAGTTTATAAAACTCCAGCTGGCCCACCGTGCATAAACATCGTTTTATATAACATTATGTTCTGCATATCGCAGCCTATGTACAATAACGCAGTATTGCACAATACTACGATTTTGAACCAAGCTACAGCGACAAGGAGAGCAAGCGAATTTTATCGCGAATAAAGCACCCATCTTCCTATGTTTTATACGTAAGAAGTTTGCTGTTTCGTTCACGATAAAGTTTCGCTTGCTCAGCTTGTCGCTGTATGCTTCAAAGTAGTAGTATCCTAGAATACTGCGTTATTGTACAAATGGCAGCAATACAGGACATAAAATACGGGATTAATTGTAAAATACTAACAACCTCGTAGGACTATATTACTAACACGATAAACAATAACTTTTGTTCCTTTTAATAATTCATCAGTTTTTACTTTCGTGCAAAAATAAAAATATTTGAATAGATCGCTCTAACCATACCTCTGTGCGGTAGCAAAAGGAAGTAAATGGCTGTCGCTTGCACGTTAAAACTTACTAACAAATTCAGATCTAAAAAGTATCAGATAGTACAACAAAAACTTTTTGGTCAATTTATTATGTTTTGTAAAAAGTCATGGAACAAAAGTGGTTGTTTACGATGTTTGGTAATATAGTCCTGTGAGGTTATTACTATTTTACAAACAAGCCTGTATACTTTGCTGTTGCAATGCTGAAATAGGGTTGGATGTAAACTTACTAAGTGCGAGTATGTTATTTCTTTCCTATGAATAAACAAATGTACCTATATAATAAGATTTTACCCAATCACACTCTCCTTCCAAATATTTTACTACTCAAAGAATAATAACTATATATTTTTTTCTATTAAAAATAAATATACGATAAAAAGTACGATATACGTCATGTTATTCCAAATAAATTATCAGTAGCCCTCCTTAGATTTATTGACATTAAGCATCTATAAGGGAGCTATCAAATTAGACGCTTGTAGAAGCGCTGCTAATTTTCATGCAATATGAGCGCCACAGTTGTGACACGCGCGCACCACTTTTGCAGTAAGATTTAGTGAAGTATGACGTAACGCGCGGCTGCCGCGTCACAGTTTTGCCACTACAGCGATTCTTTAAGCATCTAATTTGAGGGTCCTGTATTTTCTTTGGCGTATATTATGTATTTTCAAACAATAATACGCTATGGAAAAGACTTGTTTACTAATGTAGAAATGAGCTAGCAAAGAGAAGTGGTTTATATGCCAATTTTCGTTTCTATTGGCAATGTGGTCACTCGAAAAATAAACCAGGCTGCTGCTATACTAGGTTAAATTTAATTCGTATTATGAAACTTTTAAGTGAAGTGTTGTTAGCCATCAAAATAACTACCTTTTACTATGGGAACCTCTCATAACACATTATAGTCTACTGTTATTTTCGACGATTATACGTTTTTTAAGGTTGATTTTGTTTTATGATTTCAGAGGGTTTCCCGTAATAAAATTAGTTATATGTTAAGTGTGTTGACCATTACTTGAGACCCTTAAATACAAATTTCATTATATTTATGTAAACGAAATGTACTACTTCACCTTAATCTATTTTGACAGGTGATAGCAGATGTTATGATTATGAGATATAAATAAAATATTCTAGATAAATAAATTGATGACATGTTTTCCGTATTGACTGATTTGAAAATTTCGTGAATTTCTTAATATATCTTTTAATAAAAGATCTCTGTTGTGTGGCTGTGTCTTGGATAGCCATCGAGACTCGGCCAGCATGACGTGATGTAAAGCTTGAGCCATCATAGATTGTGTTGAAAATTCTTAAATTTCTTCAGCGCGAGTTATATATGAACGTAGGATTCAAACAAAGCTCACAATGAACCACACTGTTGAACTGGCAGTGATATTGTGTTTGTAGCATTTGAACGGTTAAGCCAATCAGTAGGGCTAGCACGACAGGGCGCGACTTGCACGAGAGCGAGTTTCAGATACGACGAGAACATTTGACTTTTTCTCTTTTTTAGATTTGATATAAATAACTTCGTCTAAATCTTCTGCCTCTCTTTCCTTCGATCTTCCCTTAAAAAAACTGTCGTACCACATGCCTATACATTTTTACCCTGCGGTTCTCTGTTGTTTTTTATTTCTGCACTATGAAAACTTCACTGTAACATTATTGGAAATTAAATACAATAATTGCAATACTATAAGTAACGAGTTATGTCCAATTGTAATTATTTTGTCTTGCGGTTCGATAGGGATTGGACTCTACTTACTAATAGTTAACTAGATTTGTTGTTAGCACAATCGGTGGTGGCGGTATAAATGACACGCTTTACTGCTCAAGTAAAATATCTTGATTGTTTTTGTAATGAATATTCTCAATGATTAACCTTTCTTTATGTATCGTTGTTCTTCATGTGTCGAGGTTTAAACCAGGCTTCGAATTTATCAAGATAGTTATTTTCTTTGGTAATGTTGATAATTATATATCCGATAATTATACACACTGAATCATAGTTTTGTCTCTAATTTTCTACTAAAATGACAAACAGTGAGTGAGTAAATATAAGCACGAAGAATAATCTTTGTCAGACTTAGTTTGTGATTTTTCTGAAATTGACATTTCGACACATTTGGAAACAAACACATGGCACGACGTTGCTAGCAGTAGCATTTTGTGGTTCCAATCAATTTTATAAATTAAATACAAAAAATTAAATATCAATGATAATTATCATTTAAATAGTTGAATATTTTGATGAGACATAACAGCTAACTTAGGCCGGCCACATACGGTCGGAATTCGATATCGAAATTCCGTTTCGGAATATGGATTCGAGATTCCGTATGTACATCACACACATACGTTTGTTTCCGTTCGGAATAATAAGGCTCAGCTGAGAGACGCGAGGCATTGAGTCCAGTAGAACTCGCAGCGAAAATACGTATGGAATTTATGACTGTATGTTGCGACCCTACAAAATTTTTGGAAGACATGCATTCGGAACAACTTTTTCCGTGCGGAATTCCATATGACAGAAAAAATTTCGAACGGAATAGTATTGTATGTGTGTGATAAGTCCGTGATTTGTATGGTTTTGCCGCCTTCGAAATTACGAAAATTCCGAAACGGGATTTCGAAACGGGATTCGATCTGTATGTGGCCGGCCTTACCTTGGTTTTGTATTTCAAAGGCTGAGAAGTTACTTTTGGAGTAAACGAGCATTGTTCACATTTTTTATTGCACTAATCGAAATAATAAGTTTTTAATGTCGAGGAACGGCGGTAGTCCTACGGGAGTACGATTGTTTCTCAATAGAGAAGTCCATAATTCGGATCCATTTGGCTGCATGTGCCCATGACTTCAATTTGTAACTAGTAAGCGTTAGTTACGTTGTGATGAAGTCTGCACGACGAATAAGGTTCACAACCCTTACAAGAGACCCTTGCTCAACAGTGGAACGTAAAATGGGTCGATCATAATGACGATGTTATGGCTTAAACTACAATGCTTACCATCGTGGTGAAAGGGTTTGCCAATCGGCGTAAGGTACACGCCGATTGTTGTCCAGGATGCACCAGAAGTACCGGAGCGAATGGTACAGGGCCAAGAGCATGTCAAGCTTGACACTTAAGATTTAATTCCAACTCAATGCCGCTTACGATAAGAACGGTTCAAAGTATAAAGTGTCAAGCTTGACATGCTCTTGACTGTACGTCGTGCGGGGAGGCTGCTTTCGTGTACCCCTTTGTTAGGTTCATGACTTTTTATTTTCTTGCTCAAAAATTCCCATTGGTAACGCAAGTTATTTATGACTGTGTTGTTATTGGATGAAGTTTGTATACTGAGTAGCCTCATCACATTCGGACAAATTAAATTTCTCAGCCTTTAACTATTGATTGTATTATCATTTTATCGCAGTGGTCAATACATTTCATCTATACATAGAAATGAAACATATATTCAATAAGTGTTTTCAAAATGTTTATATTTTTACTGACAAAAATTGCATTATCTTTTTAGTTTAATAAATAAAATAAAAAAGTCCTTTTTAAAAAATTCCATAATTTTTATATTCAAAACTGTTAGTTTTAAGTTATAACTATTTTAAGTGTTACAAAATATAAAAAAAAGTTTTATGTACATTTTGTAAAGATTACGTGTTTAAGTGGTTAGCCACATAGTATGGTTTCTTTAAGATATATCTTAGTGTAGTTTTTTGTATAATAGAAAGCCGTTCATCATAGATACTACATAATATTGTTTCACGACCATTGTGGGAGTAAGCCACTGTTACAGATTTTAAAATTGTAAATAAATGTCATATATTAGATATAAACGTGTTTTGTTTTTTTTAAAATATCAAGTGACGGGACGAACAAGTCGTGTGCTAACGCCGGTTTAAAATTTACTAATTAAAATTACATGTTTCATATCCAAGCACGGATGCCCTCAGTTTTAAATGAAAAACGTATTAACTGCCGACCACTCACTACAGCGCGGATAAGCGACAAATGGTGAAATATCCGTTTTAAATAGCAAAAGGTAGAGCACAAAATTAATCCACAATTAAAATTAGTTAACGTACTCGACTTATCGGAACTTACCCTAACGATGCATAGCTGAAATATCACTAAACAATTTCAATTTTTCAAAACTGGATTAAGGCTTTTTATGATATCAAAAAAATATTTTATCACTTAGCCGCGTTATATTATAGTTACCGGACGGCAGTTTTTTTAGATACCCTATGGTCATGTAGAATTAATTTTTGTGACGCCGAGTAACCGGACGAACAAGTCGTGCTCCGGGAGATAAACGACACGCCCTGTCCATAACAGTTGCCGTGCCACTCAGAGTGTTAAATCACAAGCGCTGGCACACAGAGATCCCGGGTTCGATTGCCAGGCCGGGAGAAATATTTGTATGGCCTACATTTGTTTCTCTCGTGAGTTTGGGTGAAATTTGTCGTGTCCATGGCACCCGCGATACAGGACGCGTTATTAGTGTGTACAAATTGAGGAGCACCGCCACTGCGCCTGTCACCCTGAGAGACTAAGTTCACAAATTCGCGTGCCTTATTCCAGCGTGACCATTGTCCAGTTTTGGAAATTTGACTAGCCAGAAAACAGGCACTATTTAGTCGTTTCTAGTCGGTTCTAGTCGCAAAAAAACTAGATTTAGTCTGTCCGCCGTTCAAAAGTTATAAGGGTGTTTTACTGTCCACTCTGGAATAAGCTTATTATAGTGGCACCATTTCTCTATCTCGAGAACCACAACACTTAGCTTAGATCTTATTACACTAAAAAAAGTCGTGATTCAGTCGGTTCTAATGGTTCTAGTCGTAAAAAACTAGATTTAGTCGTTACGCCGTTTTGAAGTTATTAACGTGTTTTATTATCCACGCTGAAATAATCTTATTCCGGCGGCACCACTTTTGAATCTCGAGAATAACAGCTCCTAGCTTAGATCTGATTGCACCCAGAAAAGTCGTGAATTAGTCGGTTCTAGTCGCGAAATCTTAGAATTAGACGCCCCTCTGTTTAAAAGATACAACCGATTTATTATTTTAAGGTTATACCTGTGTTAGTCTCGGAGCTCACGTACAAATTTTGCCTAATATACAGAATTTGTTATTTATTTTTTTGAAATACATGCTATTTGAAGGTTTTAATAATGTTTAGTTTTTAATACGAGATTAATTTGGTCGAGTATTACTTCTTCTTAGTCGTTTTCTTCATTGCTGAGGGTCGTGTCCCTGAAAGGTTTTCGAGCCTTTATGGACGTTTTTTCTTCCATCTTGTTCTGTCTACGGCCTCTCTCAGGACAGTTGTTATAGGGAGGCAAGTGAGGGTGATCACTTGGTCACTCCATCGGCTACATGTCACGCGTCCTAGAGATACACGGTGTCCCTAAGGGTTTTAATATTTTTTTTTATGAATTAAGTTTTTTGCTTATTGGCAGCCTATACGAAACGGCAGATAAGCTCCAAGAGAGTAGCCTTAGCTTACTATGGTATAGTCACAAGAGTAAGAGGCCGTTTTTTATTATTCAGGCCGATGCAGGAGATGCTGCATGGTTCGCATCCAGCCGCCTCGAATGAATTTTTTTTATTTTTTTTTTTATTGTGACTCGGCAAAATGACTGCACCGCGCCTGATGGAAAGTGCGAATACAGTCCAAAGATGAGAGTAACGGATGGAAAACACAAATATCTTCACTCCGTCACTATCATTTTGCCGGTCTGGCCAAATGCTTCTTCACACTACGTTTGAAGGACCCGATGTTATAGAGGGGAGGGAATACATGCGCCGGGAGTTGGTTCCACAATTTGATGGTTCGGCATAAAAACGAATTGCCAAACTTTTTAGTGCGGGACGGTATTGAATCGAATGAATGATAACCTACTTACAGTTTATTTAACAAACAATCCACAGCTATCAATCAAAAACAGAAACAATAGTGACAATAACAAGAAAAGGCTCCAAAGCCAAGTACATTTAAATTTAGAATTTAAAACTGAACTGCTAAAAAGGCTGTATAAAATATACCTATAAAAAAAACTTTGTAGCGACTGCTGTGATTCGCTACAATGGCAATAAAACATCGTGATAGTCAATAAACTTCATATTACAAATTAAGGATTTTTCAATTGTGGCTGAGTGCGCCAACGTCGGCGCAAGCGCTCACACAAATCTTTCATTTATGAGCATTCGGCTCCGCACGACTGCACACGGCGTGCAACGTTATTTTCACCTCTCTGAGCGCGTGCTTAGGTTTCTTTTTCCTCGTAGTGAGCGCCTGGTGCCATTAGTCAGATTTAGTAGGCTATTATACCGTAGGTATTTTCGATTTTGTGTGAGAGTGATATATCTGTTACATAGTAATTATTAATAGCAATCTGTGGCTATAGTACCTACCAAAATCACTAGATACGCCGTTTATCTCTAGGTTGCGTGACAAGTTAAATAATAAAAGTAGTCAGCGAAATTAGGTAGATAATATCTACTAAATTAATGTTTAGTCTTCTTTTTTAGGTACAGGCCATTTAATGTCTTTCTCGTAAATGTTGTGTTTCTTGTTATTTGAATTGGATTCGTAACATTTCGATCGCAAAACGTTCCTAAAAAAAACACAATTGTTAGTATACGTACTATAGCCGAAGTATAAAAAGTATTTGGCATCGAGTATATAACCAGAAATAGAGACGAAATGTCATTTAATTTGTTTGAAAACTATTCTGCTAAATCATTACGGTGACAATTGCGCTCCGATTGGCCATCCCGAATTCAAAACAATTGACGGGTGTCGTTCGACGATCTCAAGCTGATTTATGGCATTCAACAGTTTTCAGGTCGTGAATCGCTCCAGGAGGACATCAACTGGATCTATCAGTGGAGTATTGAAAACAGGCTTCTGTTCAATTCCGAAAAGTGTTCAGTCATGCGTTTTAGACGCGCTCATAATCATCTTTATGCAAAATATATGTTAGGCACTGAACCCATTACCCGTGTTGAGTCAACAAAAGGACTTAGGCGTCGTTTTCGATACTCGTCTTCATTTTCACAAGCACATGAAAACGCTAGCTACCAACTGCTATCAGAGGTTAGGGTATGTTATCTGGTACGCTCGCGATTTTCACGATCCCAGGTTTATCAAACTTATTTACACAGCCCTGGTCAGAAGTAAACCTGAGGCGGCCTCAGTAATTTGGAACCTACACGAGAATGTCTACGCCCTGCTTCTGGAGATAATCCAAAAGACATTTCTGAGATTTTTGTATAAGAAAATTTAGGGGTACCTACAACCCATTTTTATACCCGACGAAATTCTTCCTTGGCGTCTTTGGCTTTAATTCTTTAGAAGTAAGACGCAATTACGGTCTACTGACTTTTGCTAGTGGCATCTTGGGAGGAGATTCCAATTGCGCTGAATTGGTGCGCCTGTTCGTCCCCCCGCTAAATAATATTAATTTACGGCCATGCGTTCATCACCTGCTGGCAGTACCGGCGTCTCACAGTAAATCACCGCTTGTTCGCGCTTTGCACTGTCTTAATGCCCTTCTGGGTCTGCACCAGACTGTGATGTTTTTGCAAGTGGATGGGTGGCTGTGTGTGATGAATATTTGAGGTTTTATGAGAGGATGGATGAACGTCTGTCTTCTGTTAATTATTAATACAAATTGTCTATTTATGAATTTCACAGTGCCTTAATATTTTGCTGTAATATTGTGTAATTGTATGCAATAAATAAATAAATAATGGCCGAAAATTGTAAAATTACATATTTAATATTTAATTAGCGATGAAATGTGATTCCGTTTGTTTTGTAATTAGATGTTTTGCTGTTTTTCCCACACCACCAAATGGAACAGCCCCCATTGTTATAAATATTATCTTATTATCGTTGTTGGCGCTTTACTATTTCTGTTTTCTTATTTGTGATTTCAGCGCAAAGGTGAGTTGATATTTAAAAGTGATATAAGGCCCATTTGCCTGATGAGTTGCCAGAGACGGATGACTTTATTTATTTCGTCTCTATTTCTGGTTATATACTCAATGATATTTGGCAACATTTTTTTGTTGAAAATTGTGTATTATCATCATTTACGTTCAAAAAGTGCTTTAAAGTAAGCATCCGATAATTTTGTATGGCTTAAGGCGGGGCGTTAAATAAGAGATAGTAGGTACTTTGAAAAAAGTGCCATCAATATTAAACAAGAATTTTATCGTTTATATTAAGCGATGTTAGTTGAAGTCGAGTACATTGAAGGTGTACAATTCCAGTTTAAGCAGACACATGGTACCAATATTTACCCTGGGTTATGGTCGTTCATCAGAGAGCCTCTAACGTTTATTGGCGCAGCGTTGCTACACCACGCGTATCAAATAAATAAATATTATGCTTAAATTGTAATTGTATAAGTGGAGGGAGGGCTTCATGCCATTGAGCCAAACAGAAAAAAAAAACCAAGATATAAGCCAAAGTTTTGAATGTAATTTACATAGTATAAAATAAATATATTTTAACATAAACATACTTTACATACATACATAAACATACAAACACATTTCAATATTATACAGGGTTATTACGATACAAATACAGTAGAAATATTCTTTTCACCTCACTAGATTCATGTGTCACTAGATCGGAAAGGCTTTCTTTCTTATTAGAAATTTGCGCGCAAAAGCGCTATTAGGTTTTTGAAATTCGAACTTGACGATGGTGCGTCAAACTTTTTCTTTCGATGACACGTTCAACTACGCGATTTGTCGTACAGACAAGAGCACATCAAGCTTGACATTTTGTACTTTGGACCGTTCTTATCGTAAGCAGCATAGAGTTGGATTTAAATCTTAAGTGTCAAGCTTGACGTGCTCTTGAACCACGTCACGTCAAGCTAATAATTAAATAAATAATAAATAAATAAATAATTATGTAATATAAATCCGTTGGTATATTTTATTCTTATTATTGTTGACATTAAATGGACAATGGTCACTAACTGTGTTTATTAAATTATTTTAACTCGTCGAAGAACTAAAATAACTTGAATAATCACTTAAACACACAAAACAGAAGTACAAGCAAGAATAAAAATTGGAGAGGTGTACATTTTTCTTTTAATTAAAAAAAACTGATGTTTTATTCAACTGTTTTTCTTTCATCTACCATTTTCCTCGCTATAGTGAGGTGAAAGGTTGTGTGTTTCGTTCGGCAGCAAAGTTGTTTTGCGTCTCGTGTCTTAAAAACCTCGCTACGCGCAGGATTCTATTTCAGGAATCTTAATTTCCTTCCCTTGCTCAGGTGCAATACAAGCAATCGCGTCAAACAACAACTTTGCAGTCTTGCATAACAAATAACTATTATTGCATACTGGGACAAATACATAATAATACAAAAAATATATATAAAAAAGATAGGTACAACAGGTCACCTTACTGCTATATAGCACTCTCTTCCAGGGAACCTTCGGGTTACAGAAAAAACTGTAAGATATATAAATGAGGATGTAACCAGAACACGTATTCAATACACATATTCCACACACAAATTAAAAAATAAAATAAACAATAATAGTCTAAAACAGATATCCAAAATAATGATAATAATAACTAAATAACATACTGAAATAAAAATAAATTAGAAATAAAAATATATAAATTGAAAATATGATTAATATATTGATTAATTTATTTGTAAAATACTAACAATTTTGCAGGATTATTTACACAACAACTTTTGTTCTATAACTTTTTATAAATTATTAAATATTTATTAAAAATAAACTTAAATGTTTGTTCTAGGTACTATCTAACACTTTTTATTAGATCTGTATTTGGTAGTAAAATCAAACGTCTCATTATACTATGATATCGTGGAAAAAAAAATGTCAACAGCGTTCCACATTTACGGCTTTTATACTTACTCGTTGTCGTCATTGTCATGGTCAATAGTCTTTATGTCTTTGGTGGCCACTACACATTTGATGAACCAAGGGTGTTGCACTGTGCTCACGTACAGGTTGGGGGGGATGCAGTGGTAGGCCTTGTCATATAGGCTGGTCAATGCTATCCCTATTAACACTTCTTCTGTGCCAATCCACGTTATTAGGGGACAGCCATGATCGTTCTAATGGGTGGTATTAGAGAGATTAATAAAGCTTCATTCAGTTTTAAATTATTCATTATTTATAATTTTTTTGGGTGTAATTTGTGGATGTCTATGTGTGTCTCCATGGCACCCGCGACACAGGGTTACCATAGTGCGGAGCTATGTTAAGTGTGTGCGTTATTATTATTATTATCAATTTTACTGGACTTTCCATTAATTGTAGAAAATATTTTTTATTTATTGATAAGTTGGTTGCATTTTTAACAGAAATATTGTACAACTAATCTACAAGACTGGCTTGGAAGAAACAACTGTTCTAATAGTTCAAAAACTTTTTTCTACTTTCATAAACCGTATCACAAAGGCGCGTTTAGTGTTCTGACTTAAAATTTTATAGTGTGTAAATTAATAATAGAAATATTGTTAAATCATCTAAAAATATTAAAAAATATATGCGGTTCTTTATTTTGACTAATTGTATCTAGTAAGTTTTGCAAAATTGTTCCTAAATACTATGCACCGCGGGAGGCCAGTGATCCCGCCACGCGCTACACCGAGCGGTACGTAATCTTTCTCGATCGCTTATTTACCTATTTTTTAATTTTATTATATACTAGAAATTAGTGTTTTTGCAACTTACCTTAGGTATTTACCAACTTTAGGTTACATGAAAGTATTGCTAGAAGTACCTAACTTCATAGAATGATCTCTGTTAAATATGGCGAGAACGCAAAGCAACAAATTGTATTGTCTGTGGTACACAGAACAGAATTACTCGTTTATAGTAGTTTATATATGGTTCGCGAGTCTTTCACTTGCTTGCGTTGGCTGGGTACACGGCGTAGAAATCTTCCATACGCGCAAAGGCGTTCACGAGTCTTCTGCTTTGCGTTGCACAGACTTGCGCGCATGCGTAGCGCCTTGCCTTTGTTTGGGTTATCGTCACTCTCGAACCGGCTGCTGCACTGTGATTAGCCAGTGATAATGTCCTTCGCAAACGTTCCTCGTTCGTTGTAGTTTCAAAGTTAAAAAGAAATAACAATTTCTGGATTGTTAATATAATTTAAACTGTACCCTGTTGGCACATCGTTGAAAGTTCAATAGGTACCTACTGTTGCAAGTTACGACGTTTTCATATTATATTCAAATTTCAATTAATGTGCTGCCATTTAGCGGTTAATTGCTGAACGACGACGAATTTGAGTTATTAATTTAGTTCTCCAAAAAAAAGCGGCCATATTGCAGGGGTATAAGCTCAACTTTCGTTTCTTGTAACCAAAAATATTTGGATAAACAGAAAATTTAGATTTATTAAAAAAAGACTCCGATGATTTGAAATTCCATCACGGATAATATTTTTGGTGCGGTTATCATTTTTGCACTCCAAAACAGCATAATAAGGCATTTTTCTAGGATTTTAGAGAATTTACACGAAACATTGACACAACTATACCATACAAAGCGAAAGTGGCGGACTAAGCTCAAGTAGGTCTTTCGAGACCTACAGTTGGCACGCGACGCTAAATAACCATTTCTGCTCTCTTTATTTATTGTTCTGTGGTATACGTGGCGTGCGGGTATAAGTTTAATTTTAATCTATTTATCCATCGATGATGACTTAACAGCTTTTAAGTAATTGCAAAAACACATGAATTAAGTTAAAATCAAGTCAAAAGTAAATTAATTAAAAATTATGGTAATATTTAGTTAATAACTCCGTCACTTAGTACGTCTAAACCAGTCGTAAGTTTATGTAAGAAATTAAATAACACTTTGAGTTTACTTCGTAAATTCTTGTAAAGTTTGGGTTGTAACTTTTTTTTACAATATCAAGTGACGGGGCGAACAAGTCGTACACCTGATGGTAAGCTACACGCCTGTCCATAACAATTGCAGTGCCACTCGAGAGCTTTAAATCGCAAAGATCTCAGGGGCACTGCCACTGCGCCCGTCACCCTTCGACATAAGTTGACAAGTCGCATGTGCCTGTAATTTCATCAGCACCCTTACCCTTCAAAACCGGAACACAGTAATGCTGACATTACTGCTTGGCGGCAGAAATAGGTAAGGTGGCAGTACTTCCCTGGACGAACTCTTTCACAAGGAGCTCACTGCTACTACTAAGTACGATATACATATTGCTTATCGTCATTTTTGTTTAGTTTGCAGTAAACGAACTTTACTCCCCGTAGACTATAGTGTTAACTGAACAGTTATCGAATGACCGTACCTGGCAAATGCTCTGTCTTCTCGTATTCATATACAAATCTTTCTTAAGTCTTCCACATCTTAGGGATTTTGCTGCATTAGTTTTTGTAGTCTTTGTTATTTTTCTCTTTCGTTTTCTATTAAATCTTCGGGTTAAATCCTCGTAGTCATAGTCGTATTTGTTTTCCATGTTGTCGTATTTGTTTTCCACGTTGTCGTATTTGTTTTCCACGTTGTCGTATTTGTTTTTCACGTTGTCGTAGTTGTTTTCGACGTTGTCGTATTTGTGTTCAACGTTGTCGTATTTGTTTTCCACGTTGTCGTATTGGTTTTCCAGATTGTCGTATTTGTTTTCCACGTTGTCATATTTGTTTTCCACGTTGCCATATTTGTTTTCTTCATAGTCGTATTTCTTTTCCTCATAGTCTGTCAATTTATCTGGATTTACCTGAATTTATGATTATATTTACTTGTTAAAAAGGACTTAAAAACTTAGGAGCTAGTCAAGTTGTTACTTATAGATATGGGATTAACCCGTTCATTAAGACGCTGACAAGCGTCGATGACCTTGCGTCGATGACCTTGAGCGATAACGCGCCTACTATAATTTCTCCAATAAGATGGCTCCATACGCCCCGATGCGGTAAGAGTGTGGTAGTTGGACCTTCCGCTTGATTTAACATAATATTGATTGCCGCTAACATATGACGTCGTACTTAAAATACACACATGCTATCAAACTAAAAAATATCAAAGCATATAAGAACTGGACATGTTATGCAAACAAGAAACAACCCACACCTCGAGTGAAATTGAGTTATGTATTTAGGTTTCTATCTGGTGTTCTCACCAGACGTGTCCTTTACCCGCTCACAAAAGATCCTGGCAACATACCAAGCCAAAATGGAGAAAATAAAAGGCCTTCAGGGTACCAAACCTAAATAAGTAACTTTTTAATAGGTAGCTAAAAAGAACCTTGCTGCTTAACTTCATATAATGTTTTTTTCAAAATATGCTAAACGGATCCATGTCACATGTACTGAAGTACTGTAGATCTTTGGCGTTTTCATTACGAAAACTAGAACATGGTTATCGTTAACTAAATAAAAAGATACATAATGTTTTCTATTTATTGCTGTATAATAATTATAAATATAAATAAAATTATATTACTATTACAATATAATATAAATATATTGTTTCCCTATATCGTTCTCACTGCTACAGTACATCGTTTGTCTCAAACAGATATGCGCCGAGTACAAGTTTTGCCGAGTAACCGAGTACCGAATATTACTCGGTTTAACATTTGCCGAGCCGAGTACTCGGCCGAGTTACTCGGTTCATTACAATCGGAACGCGATGATCGTAAAAGCCCCCGTTGCTCTAGAATTAGGCCGATATGTCAATGAAAATTTATTGTCGCGAGAGCAGAGTCCATTCCAACAATGGTGGGCAGAGCATAAAACAAAATATCCAAAACTGGCACAGTTAGCACGGGTGTTTTTATGTGCACCTGCAAGCACTGTGATAGCGAGCGGTTATTTGCCGAAGCGGGTAATGCCTAAGAAGAAAAAAGGAATAGACTATAAACCTGAACGCGCGGAAAGTCTTGTAAATATTCCTACATCATAACTTGCCTTTGTTAAATTTTAAATATTAATAATGTAAACTTTCTTTTTAAATTACTAAATTGCTACAAATTGTTACAATTGTCTACAACATGTAGTAATAAATATCTTTTGAATATTTTAAATATATTGTTGATTTTACTTTATTATGTCTATAGATGTGATGCTTTATTTTAACCGAGTACTCTTCTCATGAACCGAGTTATTCGGCCGAGTACACCGAGTACCGAGTAGCAAACGAGTATTCGGCGCGTCTCTAGTCTCAAATAACTTACCTATTTATTTCTTCACACTGTTTTTTCAAAAATCTAATTATCTCGAAAGTGACATTTTGTGGGTTGGTTATAGTTTGCATAACTATGTATGTCCAACTACATATCTCGTAAGTGTCGTGCTCGACGGTAGACAGCCGATTACAATATTATATAAATTAATTTGTCGAAACCATGTCAAAACAGAGGTCTGGCCACGTATCCCACGAACGCAAGCTACGCAGCAGAAGTTTTCAACGTTGCAATATTACTAAATAATCAAGGACGCAAACAATAATTTCATTTTTGTTTTTAATACTTTGTGTTTTAGGTTCTAATCCAACCAAAAATATGTTTTTTTTATTCTCACCTAATGGCAAAAAATTTAAATTTAAAAAAAATATTTTGTTATGATTTCAACGAATTGGTGCATTATATTTACTTATTTACGTATTTTTTTGTGTATGATATTTTTTCACACTGTTAAGTGCCTGTCCATAATTTGCAAGCAAATATTTAGCTCGCACTTTAGTAGGCGAAAGTTACTTTTTACTCCTAAATTTGTTATTTGTCTTTTATTTAAAACAAATAAAGTGTCAGGATCAAGATAAGTACCATTTATATAACCACACCAAATTTAGTAGTAAGAACGTTTGGTTTGCCCGAGAAAAATATGTCAAAAAATAACCACCAGAGTCTCACTGTAATCCAGTTTTAGTATTACCTATGACAATAAGCAATATTCTAGGAATTTCAAGCTACACTTCAAGATACGTGTTATAGGATGTACTATTTTCAAAGTTCCACGTGCTCTGTTATCGCCTAGAAACTTACACAAAAACACCATATTAAAGCGATTTTGGGCACCTCATCGCCTTAACAGTACTCAGATAGTGCCGCACACAAAAATGTCACCACTTTTCTTAGTGCCGTAATGCTGATATTGAATGTTTAAACCATTTTAAATCATTTTATATATTTTTTATTTTCACACGCATAAACAAAACATAAAGCTCAGAAATGAAAAAAAAAATATTACGCAATTTACAGAAATAATTTTAAATGAAAATAACTAAAATAAAGTATGTGTGTGATGGACACGTGCTTAAGGAAATATTGAAATCAGTTTGTAATGTTTTCAATCCTGATTTTCAGCCCGACTCAGCCATGGCAGCTCGACGTAGTCGATCACACACACAAATCGCAAGCAAACATCAAATAAAGATAAAACGATTGATGAAAATACTAATAATAATAATGAGCGCGCTCACGCACACACACACAAGCACGCGCACACACACACACGCACGCGCACACGCACACGCACACGCACACGCACACGCACACACACACGCACACGCACACGCACACGAACAGGCACACGCACACGCACACGCACACGCACACGCACACGCACACGCACACGCACACACACACACACACACACACACACACACACACACACACACACACACACACACACACACACACACACACACTGTATTGTTAGTTTAGTTAGTTCAAACATTTAAATTTTGTTTTCTTTTTCACTATTGTATAACCTTCATCTTAAACTTAATTTTAACCTCTGCAATCATAGTAATAAGAGAAAAAGAAAGTTGTCTGTGGTGAGAGACCTGGTATCCTATATTACAAGTTTATGCTTAGTTTAGGTACCAGTCTTTTGCAAACATAATATAAACAATATTTTTGTCTATCTTACTTTTGTTCATGTTCAGTTGTTGTGGAGAGTAATAAATACATTATTATTATATTATTATTATTAATAATAATGAGAATAATAATAATGAATAATACCGCCTCTCTCATTTAAAAATTCAAAATTAATCTTTTAGCCGTTGGGAGAGGCGAGAGTCTAGATACAATAATAATAATGAGAATAATAAAATTTATTTAACTTTGTACCAATTATAACAGCAAAGTGATGTTTGACAAATAGTTATATAAAATATTACTATAAGTTTTTATAATAATACTACAAGTTTTTATTTGTTTTCTCCAGAAACATTGCCCCCCTTTACAACTGTTAAATTTCTATCCTAAGGTTGCCTGGAAGAAATTGCTACTTAGCAATAAGGTCTGTGATACTTACATTACAGTTCTGTGTTGTTATTGCAATTTAAATGTGCAATAAAGAATATTTCATTCATCATTTCATTCATTCCTTCAGATAGATACTAGACTTGTTCTATAGAGCCAAGATAAATACAAAAGATCCTAAGAATAAAAAATCGTTTATTGAAAATCACTTCGACTTACTTTCTCGCTAATTATTGTGGCGTGTAGCACTGGTTCATCAGTAAAAGTATCGTGCTGTAGACCTTCTGCGAAAAGATTTCAAGTTTAAATTTCACATTTTCTTATAATTATTAATACAAAGATCGAAAACAAAGAAATGCTGCTGCGGCTGGACTTAAACCAGCAACCTCGCTATACCGTGGCTGAGCCACCAGTAGATAATAATAAACTACAGTACCGGCATGCTATAATGGTCGTTTTGACCACAGACCACATGTTTTGACAGATTACAATAATGAGATCAAATCTCAATTCATTATCAAAAAAAATATAATCAAATGTGAGTCCCATCTATATGTTCTTAGATTATAAACTAGTATTGGAAAGGGTAGCTGATTAAGAAGTACGAAAATAAAAGTGTTTACTAATATATCGTCAATTCGACACTGCTTTGTTGTGCTTTGAGCTTTGACGTGAGTTTGCCGGAAGTAGAAGTTCCACAGCGATCCCATAAGTGACGATCGTATTAGGTTTCATTTAAAAAAAATTTGGGATTTCGAAAAACAAATGCCGAGTTGTGTCGTAAAATTATACATCCATAAATTTTACTGCACGTCACTATTGACAACAATGCACATCAATTAGCTCCTTCAATATAGTTATGAATTAATACAAAACTTCATGAGCTGTCAAACGTCAAAACGGTCATCATAGCGTGCCGGTACTTTAGTGGATAATTTCATAAAAATAATGGAAAATCATAGTAGTAAAATATCGCGATATTCAATAAAGTTAATATAATATTATAATTTTATCGCGGTATTTGCGATTGCTGTACATATATTCGGAATGAAACTATGTTTTCAGTCAGTCGTGAACATGGGACATAGATATAAAGTTAGCATGACAAGGCGCGACTTGCACGAAAGCGATATAACGCTAGATCTTTTCGTGATTTTAGTAGCAGTAGAGCCCCTTGTGAAAGAGTTCGTACAGGGAAGTACTGCCACCTTACCTATTTCTGCCTCCAAGCAGTAATGTCAGAATTACTGTGTTCCGGTTTTGAAGGGTGCTGGTGAAATTACAGGCACATGGGACTTGTAAACTTATGTCTCAGGGCGATGGGCGCAGTGGCAGTGCCCCTCTAGCTCTAGCAGTCTCGCGCTTTATGTCGCTCTCGCGCTAGTCGCGCCGTGTCATGCTAGCCCTACTGTAAAGAGCCCGAGACGTTATTCTGCTTGAAAAACAAATATACGGGATTTAGCGCCGAAAAAACAGTTTAGTTACATTCATATCATAAACCCTTGATGTGTTCAAAAACTGCAAATTACGACCAGCGTAAAGATAAACTGTTTTGTCAGAATAAATTTCTTATCTATGAAAATGTTATTATTGCAAATTAATAATATCAAATGCGATTTTATTATTACATTCAAATTTCGAACATCTCTGAAAAACAAATCAATGTGATTCGACCTCAATTCTAGTATCAGTCGAGATGAAGTTTAATTCGAACTGAAATGTCAATAGCAAACAATTTTTACCCTCATTTTCTTTGAAATTTGATCAGGACCACTACTGAAGAACCTCCTTTACAATAAAAAAGAATCATCGAAATCTGTTCACAAATGTCGGAGTAATCGCGTAACATACATAAAAAAACACAGTCGAATTGAGGTCCTCCTCTTTGTAATTTCCAAGTTTTTATTGTACGTCCGATATTTTACTACCACGATATTCAATTATTTTTTGTGAAAATGCACCACTAGTTTGTTATAATTATTTAGCAAAGATCGAACACTTAGAAAAAATTCCGTCGAATCAATGTCTTCCAGCAAACCGTGTGAACCGACACGTCTTCTAGCAAACCGTGCCAAGACGCTGTGCCAACGAAGCATGAAACGAACCAGCGGACCTTACGAATATCTTGTGCTTCTTGCAGATCTTTGTTTTTTGGTTTTTAACGATTTTCGCTCAGCTTAGTTGGCATAGCGTCTGGCACGGTTTGCTAGAAGACGTGTCGGTTCAAATCCGGCTGGATCGAAGGAATTTTTTGTAAGTGTATCTTTGTTATAAATAACTATAACCTCCTGTTTTTATGAAGTTGGTTAATAAAATTGATGTTTTCGTGTCCAATAACGTAACAATAATATGGATACTAACTTGTAATATAGTCATAGTAATCGTATTGTTTGCTTCTGGTTTTAGCTCCTTTATCTTGCTCTGGCCATGGCATTGTCTCCGGTTCTAGATACGCTTCTGTTGCTGAGTCTCGTTCTGACCATTTAAGTGGATCTGGGTGTGGCTTCAGTTCTGGCCGCGGTTCTAATTTTGGATATAGGTTTAGCCCTCGAGTTAAATGTCGTAAAACGGGTTTTGTCGTTGTGTCGGGTAACACTGTTTCTGTCCCTGTCGTAGTTTCGTCGTCCATACATTCTGTTGCCAGTTCACCATAGTCTATAACATTTCCTTCCGAGTCTATATTTCCTGCCCCATACGTACATATCAATTTATAGAAGTCAATTATATCCTTATCCACGTGCATCGCTGTGCTATGAAACTTATTCTCACACAACTTGTAATTTGCTATTAGCATAGATGCTTCACGTAGAAATTCTTCGTTGTGATCCATGAGGTGATATGGCTGAAATATAAGTATTATTTAATTTTTATATTTCAGCATTTATTATTATAATGCAACTAATTTTTTCTCTCTCTCGTACCCCGTCTCACATCCGTCCGAAGCAATTACTCTTAAATAGGCAGTACTCGACTAAATTAAACGAATGCATAATGCGAATGAAGCTGCAAACTTGACATTGTCCTTTATTTTGGTGGAGTATTACTTATTTGACAGTCATTGTTTCGGACAGATGTCGGAAGGAGAACGAGACTAGACCTCTGGTTTGATAGCAACAGATTTTATTCAGCAGCATGTATATTTAGTAGCAGTAGAGCTCCTTGTGAAAGAGTTCGTCCAGGGAAGTACTGTCACTACCATCATCTTAGCTCTTTCTGCCACCAAGCAGTAATTTAAGTATTGTTACGTTCCGGTTTTGGGCCGTAAGGGGTAATAGTGAAATTACAGGCACATGGGATTTGTCAACTTATGTCTCAGCATGACGGGGGCAGTGGCAGTGACTCTCAGATCTTTGCGATTTAAAGTTCTGAGTGGCACTGCCACTGCTAAGGACTGACGTCGCTTCACATCCCTTACCATCAGCCGCATATCTTGTTCGTTCTATCACTTAATATAACAAAAAAAATAGTCTTCCACGGTCTCTATTAATTGTTTATGGCCAAGATAAATAATTAATAGAGATCGTGAAAAAGGTTTTTAAACTTACCATTCTAAGACCATCGGTGTAACCCCAACCCAAGGCCACTACGTCTCTCCCCATCGTCGTAGACTGCAGTCTAAAGTTGACTGCGATGGGTCTTGGAGTATACGAACAGTATATAGAGTAAGATGTATCCGAAAAGTTGTAAGGACTTTCCACCACTGCAATTCCGATGTCGTTGGTGGTTGCCCATGTTGATGCATTAGCGAACTCCAATCGGTAAGCTGTTTTTATTTATTTATTTATTTATATATACAATTTCACAGCATTACAGTTATTTTACCAAGGAACTGTGAAGTCCATAAAATTGAAAACAGACATATTTTTTATTAGTTCACAGAAGATTGACGTTCATTCATCCTCTCACAAAACCTCAAACATTCATCACACACAACCGCCCATCTACTAGCAAAAACATCGCAGTCAGGTACCGATACGAGAAGCTCGTTTACGTAAAGCAAAGCGCGAATAAGCGGTGATTTTCTACAGGATACAGTGCGGGTCGCCTGCAGTGCCAGCAGGTGGTAACTGCGAGGCCGTAAATTAAACTTGTTTTCTAAAGGGTTAACAAGCAAGGTTAACAAGCGCACCAGTTGCGCCACCACTTCTGGACAGTCTGAATTTCCATGCAAGGCGCTGGCAGCAGTAGTCAGTAGCGTATAATTACGCCTTACCTCTAGAGAATTAAATCCCAAGACGCCAAGGAGGAATTTAGTCGGGTATAAAAATGGGTATTACCCATAAATTTTCTTATACAGAAATCTCAAGAACGTCTTTTGGATTTTCTCCAGAAGCAAGACGTAAGTGGCCTCATGTGGATTCCAAACAACTGAAGCTGCCTCAAGCTTACTCCTAACTAGAGCGGTGTAAACAAGTTTAATGACTCTGGTATCATAAAAGTCACGAGGGTTCCGGAAAACAAACCCCAACCTCCTATAGTAATTGGCAGCTAGTGCTTTCACATGCTCATGAAACTTTAGATGCCTATCAAAAATGACGCCTAAATCTTTAATAGTCTCGACACGGGTAACAAGTTCAGCACCTACCAGGTATTTTGCATACTGAAGATTATACGCGCGGCCAAAAGTCATGACTGAACATTTTTCAGTGTTGAAGAGAAGCCTGTTTTGAATGCCCCACTAATAAATACGGTTTATATCAACCTGAAGCGATTCACAGTCTGACAACTGTTGAACGCCGTAAATCAGCTTGAGATCGTCAGCATAGAGCAGGCATCTAGCGCATTTAGGTACTGAGGCCAGGTCATTTACCATGCCGAAAAGTAACGGACCCAAAATTGAACCTTGGCTGACTCCAGAACGGGTGTGGAATCTTTCCGAAACAAAGCATCCGTATTGTACATACTGTTGTCTGTTGCTAAGATAGCTAGCAAAGAACCTAAGCAATGTGGGCGAAAAGCCTATGTTGCACAACTTTCTTAAAAGCACGTCATTGTCTACACGGTCAAAAGCTTTTCGAAAGTCAAGATACAAAACATCAACTTGTAATCCCTTATACAGATGTTCAGACATGGAATCAACCAGGGTCAACAAGTTTGTTTCAATGGAACGCCTCGGCCTAAAACCATGTTGAGAGTCGCAGAGATAGGGTTTTACTTGAGTGGCAATAAGTATGTTCAATATTGATTCAAACAACTTTGCAGTTGAAGAAAGAATGGCAATTGGGCGATAATTTTCAATTCTGGTAGAATCATTCGACTTGGGGATAGGACGCACTCGTGTAACCTTCCATTGACAGGGGTACTCCCCAGTACTCAGACCTAAATTAAAAATGTGGAGTAGCGGGAATTTTAGCCAGTCTTTGCATCCCTTCAAAATGAATGCCGTAAAACTATCTGGACCTGGGGCGCTTTGGGGCTTCAGACGAGCTATAGCCGGTCTCGACATCAAACAGTGATGTTCGCTGTTTAATATCTGCCCTGAGCTTTGAAAACTTAGCATAAACCGCACGGTCACCAGTACATTTCCACTCTCGATGAAGATTAGCTTTCAGCTTAATGTCTTTGATTAGGTACGCAGTGAACCAGACCGGATAACGTCTACAAGTCTTGTTAGACCTTACCTTCCTAGGTATGCATGTGTCAAAAATGCCGTACATCAACCGGTAAAAAAGCTCCACAGCAACGTTGACGTCGCGGGTCTCGAGGATTTCCTTCCAAGACACTTCGGACAATAACCGGTAAAGAAGGTCATAATCACCCCTGGAAAAGTTCCAGTCACACTTTGAGCTGATGCGCTATCAAGGAGTGGTATAGAGAAATCCAGTGGAGGATGATAAATGTCGTGCAATGGCACTAGCCCACCCTCTTCCAGTTCACTGACCTTTACACGACAGGTGCGCTCTCGCACCAGCACCACATCTAATACTCCTCCATACGCATTGGAAACCTCATTCATCTCTCTCAGATTACAAACTGCAGTAAAATAACTATAGTAGCTTAGAATACTAGCGGACATATATTTCGGGTTCAGATTCAAGTCACCAACAATAACCACAACACCACTGATAGAATTGATAAAGGATTCAACTTTTTGAAAGAAACACAAATACACATCGTCCGTAACATTGGGTGGGATGTAAACAACACACAAAGGACAGTTGATTTGTTTCATCACGAAAGATGTCCAAAGGTCCTCGCCGCCGGCAGTCTCGAAATCATGTCTACGTCGCAAAGTTACACCAGGCCACGCGGCCACTAGCACGCCTCCCCCTGTCGGCCAGTAGCAGTGTTTTCAAAATAGAGCCGTTAATTAAATACCGGAATAAAATTATCTGTACTCAATTAACATACACTCAGTATCAAACGCGCAAAGAAAACGTATTTGTTCAGGACTAAGTATATCAGTTCAAAAAATAGGTTTAAATGATATAAGTAAAATTGATATAGAAATACCTCAATAACCAGTGATTTTTGACGTTCTCAGATTTTCTCAACAGAAGTGCTTATAATGATGTGAAAATAGAAAATGGGCAAAAAGACCTTTAAAATCTAATAAAAAGATTAGCTCTACTCTCTAAGCACGAAATTTGTAGTTACGTTCGGTTTCCCAAATGGATGACCTATGGACTGGAGTTTCGATCGGGGCGTTTAAGTTTCGAACGTGCCCGTCTTTTGGTTCACGAGCTTTGAGAGTAGATCCGTAGGTCGGATTTCGAGCTTCGGGAGTAGAACCTCAGGCATGGAGAGATTGTTAAGATCTACTGGCTCGATCCGTTGAGGTGACAGAAGCTGTTCGAGTTCAGGGAATTTTTCTTCGTATTTGTTTTGAACTTCTTAGAGACAGATACTCGTAGATAGATAGAAATGAAGATAATCACCTTCTGGTACACAAGTTTTAACGACTCTCTTTTTTTTGGTACTCGTGCAATCATCTACGTCCAGCAGTTCAGTTGGCACATAACGTCGGTATCCAGCAATCGCATATACGAATCCGACGTCGGTTAAACAAGCAGCCGATGTGAGGATATGTAACTCTGTGATCAAGGCTCCTCCACAAGTCCAGCCATGATAAGTCTCGACTGAGACCGCCGATTTTATAAAATAAACCTGCAATGTAAAATATGTTGTTATATGCTTTGGATGATTGGTCACGCACTAAAACCTTTTTGGAACCTGGGGCTCTATTCTCGAAACACGAAATCCGTAATTACGGCCGTTTCCCGCTATGGACGATTGTCGTTTCTCGCATTGTGTGATTCGTGACGAGTGCATCGCGACCAGTATTATTAGGTCAGTGGTCTCTATTGTTTTAGAAATCCTCTTTGATCCAGCTCCAGTGCTAAATATTTAAACACGTATAGTTTTCTTGACTATTTATTATATGTCCCATATTGATGGTGATAAATGAAAAATAAAACCCCAAAAACAGACGCTTGCGGTAAATAATGAGCAATGCGTCGATCTAGTCTGATTGCCATTATATTTTGTGAAGGCACTCAGCCTGCTGTGCCCGTATTGAAGCGCCTCAAGCGCTTCATACTAACGAAGTTGAACCATTTATGGATTAAAAAACTTAGCTTATAAAAATTTTTAAATTAGAATAAATAACCTAGTAATTGGAAATTAACACAAGGTAAAACCACAACGCGTGAAAATAAGTAGCTGTAAAATCCTCAAATAAAGTTATATTTTGTTGTTGATTGTCGGTCGCGTCCGCTTTGTTCGTCCGTCGCGTCCGCTTTGTTCCTCGGTCGCAGAATATTGTTTGCATGTAAATCAAATTGACTCAACACAAAACAACCTGACTTAACTCATGTATGTAAAACCCGACAAATTCTGAATAGAGACTAATTTGGATCTAAACATTTAGTGAATCAACTTTACATGAGGTTGAGCTGTTTTTATATTCTGTTTATTAGTATTGTGACTAACAGTTACATTATGGTTGGATAAATCATTGTACTCTATTTTATTTTGAAATACCAATTGCAAAACACATTATTGTCAGGTATTTGAGATAGTAATTGAAATAGAAAACGCGTATTTGTATTACAGAGACGCATTGTAATTACAAGTACCTAATTAAAATACTTCGGGAGCCAAGCTCCGTCATTTTTACCAAATTAAAATGTCGAATTTTTAAGGGTCAGTGCCGATGCAACAGCTTTACTTAAAGTATATGTAATATGTTATTACTTTTTACTTACCATGAACGCTCTATCACCCAGTACTTCTTTGCCACCGGAAATTCTACGCTGACCAGAACTTACTATAACCAAACAAAATTACAATAAAAAAACCGATCTTCAAATATAAATGGGACCTATATAAATATAAATGGGAATATAATTGGGACCACTACTTAGGTACCCTCTTTCCAACAAAAAACGATTCATCAAAATTGGTTCACAAATCGTTATCGTGTAATATACATACATACAAAAATAACATATATGCAGTCGAAAAGAGAACCTCCTCCTTTTTTAGAAGCCGATTAAAAATTAAGTTCGTTCGTATTATTTGGTATTACTTATGGGTTACGCTGACACCAGGGATTCAAGCGTTCGATCATAGTATATTTTTAGTGTAATTAATTAAAATTTTAATATATATATATATTAAAATGTATATTTTAATATATATATTAATTTAAATATATATATTAAAATTTTAATTAATATTTATATGTAATAAAAAATAAAATATAAAATATGCAATAAAATATAAATAATTTTGTTTTAGTTGTAAACCACTTATTGTAGATACTTAAAATTTTATAAGAGCATAAACAAGCCTAAATGGAAGCATTCGCCCCTGTACTATAAAATGAACGAATAAAACATTTTATTTTATACACACTAATCTACATGGGTGACGAAATACTTAAGATTTCTCATAGATGGCACTACGACCAAAAAAATCGTGGAAAAAACCAAATACAAAGACAAGACAACAAACACATAGAAAAATTCGTGACGTTCGCTGGTTCATTCCGTGGGTTAGTTGGTATAGCGTCTGACACGGTATGCTAGAAGACGTCGTTTTAAATTCGGACGGATCGAAGGAATTTTTTCTGAGTGTTCGATCTTTGTATTAATAATTATAACAAACTAGTGGAGTAATTTCACATAAAAGTAATTGAATATCAATTCAATAAAAAAAAATTAATATGCACTTTTTCACCGATATTTTTAAAGTTGGAGACCAAAAATTAAGTTGGCGTAATGTTCATTGGAGGTCTCGATTCTTTTCCTGGACTCTTTATGTAATATTATAACTTTATATCATTTTAAATAAAATCATAATAAATCTTTGCACACCATGTAAAATGTTAAAGTCTAATTATAGATCCTAATACGTATATCCTAATTATAGATCCTAATAGGAAGTATTCTTTAATTATATCTTTAAAATTTTAGTATAGTAGGGTAAGAAAAATAATGAATAAAATTTTTTTTCATTTAATAACTAATGATACAATGGAATAACTAAAGACTAAAATTATGTGAATCAATATAAAATATAACACATATACCTGAACTAGGAGAATCCTGTATTTCAGGTAGCTTGAATGAGTGAACATTACGTTTTTTACATGTCGTAAAACTGAACAGTAAGTGCAAACGTCGATATTCCCGCTTGGTCTGTTTTTATTATTAAAAATAATAATAACTTTAAAAAAAACCGACCTCAAATATTTATGTAATTACGTCTATTTGCCAAGTTTTATTGTTGGAATCGGTTGTTACCAGTAAAGTAAGGTAAGGTAAGTGGGTGAAATTCAATAAGCCGGATTCATCCCCTAATTTGCCACACTTAGAGGTGGATAATTTTCTTAAAATTTTAATGGGATCATTACTGAGATATTCTGGATTCTAACAAAAAAGAATCATTGAAATCGGTTCACAAACGTTCGGACGTTTGTGAACCGATTTCAATGACGTTTGTGTTTGTTTTGATTCGGATCAATGCGTCCTATACACAAAAAAAATTGTCGAATTGAGACCCTCCTCTTTTGCAGTCACTTAAAAAAGATCCATTAAGTATGTAGCTATTATTACGATACTCACACATTATAAAAAGTTTAAAGCATACGACGAACACACAAATATTATCTATCATAGTTTTGTTTTTTCTCTGAATCGATTTTAAAACAATCTTAAAGTTCTCTCATTAGAGAAAATTCAATACGTATTAATTATTAAGTAGTCCATTTTAGAACTTGACCTAAACACTGCCGTGTACTTGATGCATGTTTAACTTTAATACGTTTACATGAATACTTAATCAATCCTTTTCATTTAATGCCTTCATATGGATGTAAAGTCAACTTACTACTAGGTACTATTTTATACTCTGGTACTGTCTACACACATATGTATATCGACGTAGGAAATCATTTACATAACCGTATTTATACATGTACTAACAACATTGTTTTCGTTTCGGTCTATTGAACTACGTAATTAACCACATTTACTTTTATGCTTTCAAATTCCACCTTTTGGTTTTTACTTTAGGCGATTAATTTCCTGTGGTTCTGGGTACAAGGATTGTAGATTCATGTAAGCTTTTTATATTGTAGATACGAATCCACAGCCGGTTTCGACTTTTTAGAATGCTGTTGTTGTTTATACATGAATTCTTAAGGTTTTTCGTGATACTTACAGATTTTAAATGAAATTAGGTACTATTGTTTACTATCTAGGGTCAGTTGGAGTAAGAGAAATACTGCTGACTCAAAGCTAGAACTCATAATCTGAAGTGTTTAACATTGAATGAATGAAATATTCTTTATTGCACATAAAATTACAATTAAAATACAATACAATAGCTGAAGTATAATAGTAGTAGTAAGTCAATATGCAACAGGCGGCCTTATTGCTATGTAGCAATTTCTTCCAGGCAACCTTAGGATAGACATTTCGGATATGCAAAAGGGGTGCAACCAAAGAATATCATCATGAGTAGGTACACTACATAATAAGTAATAATAAAAATATATACATATTCATAGATAGATATACATATACATATAAATAACGATAATATTATTAATACATACATAACAATAAATACACAATAATATTTAATGCTTATATATTTTTAATAGAAAAAGAAAAATGAAGTACAAATGTAGGAAGTAAATTAAAGGATAGTAGAGGACAGACGAAATTTAGGAGTTGAGGAAGTGATCCTTGACACGTTGCTTAAAGGAATCAAGAGAAGGGGATCGTCGAATCGATTCATTGAGAGAATTCCACAATCTGATCGCAGAAATGGTAAAAGAGTTGGAATAAAAGTTAGAGGTATGAGAGGGCAAGTTAAGTAAGAGAGTATCAGAGTAGCGAAGGGGACGACAGAGTGTAGAAGATTGGAAAGTGAAGCGATCTTTAAGATAAGAAGGCGTAAAGGGATAGAACAGAATTGAATAGAGAAGTGAAACAATATGAAATTAGCATTATAGTCTCACAGTCGATAAAACAGACAAAAAATTAGTTTAAACGATTTGAAAGAGATGTGTCGCTGCGATGCTATAAATCTAAAAGGCGGCAAAAACAAATTTGACAGTTGTGAAATTTTGAGTAAGTAACATTTCTTGTTACTACTACTGTTCACAATTTGCTAATAATTTACTTACTTAATTAATATACCCAATAAATTATTAGATATAAAAAAGAAGTGGTTTTGGGTGAATACCTATGTAAATGTTACTACTCCTTTAAATATTCTAGATGGATCTTTAGTCAAAAATATCCAACCTAGAGTTTTTCATAGATTTCTCGTTGTAAACCCGACAGATTTTTATCAGCCCCCGTAGCATGGCTACGCATGATAGTCGCGATACGCGCGGTAAAATTTAAATAAGCGCGCTACTGGCCGTCTCAATCAGATCTAATTTAGATAGCCAATGGCGCGCGCTTATTTGAATTTTATCGCGCGTGTCGCGACTATTTTGCGTAGCCATGACACGGGGGCTGGGGATTATAAAAGGAAAATATATATAAATATTTATACATTGAATATTATATAAAATTATTGAATATTTTTATATCTTTTTTGAAGACGGAGTATAATGACATTTGTAGGGTTGCTGGTTTTATAAAATTTTAAATAGTTGTGTAGTTGTCGATATTTTTATCGATAGATTGTGAAAGAAGATACAATTTTCCCAATAATGAATGCATTGTAAATGCTACGACGTTCTTCATCATCATCATCAATCCTGTGTCCCACTGCGGGTCATGGCTCTCCTTTCAGCCGATGGTTTAGGCCATAGTCCGCCACGCTGGCCCAATGCGGGTTGAGGACTTCACACGTTTTCTGAGGGTGGTGAACCTTCTTCGACGTGCAGGTTTCATTACGATGTTTTCCTTCACCGAACAGCTCATGGTAAATTTCAAGTTAAATTTCACACATAAATTCCGAGAAACTCAGAGGTGGGGCCCGAATTCGAACCCACGACCTTCTGCTTGAGAGGCAGTAGGTGAAACCATTAGGCTACCACGGCTTTTTACGACGTTCTAATGATTGATTACTAATTGCGTTATTGCCTCCTTTATTCTTATTTTGACAGTCGACCAACTTGTATCAATTTTTATAAACATACATTTTGACAAGAATAGCCAGATTTGATTATCTATTTGAATTATTTGAATTAAAATGAGAAACCTTAAAATATGGCTCCTCTTTTTATTTTTCATTAATATAGTTCTAAATACGGTGTATTTATATATACAATTTCTTTAAGTTCATACGAACTTAAAGAAATTGTCAATTCAAATGAACTTGTGCTCTAAAATTGGATGAATAATGAGACGAGGATGATTAAAATGAAACAAGTTCAGCTATTTATTTCATAAGCCTGAAATATTCTGTGATAGTCGATAGTATATTTATCGACTGCAATTACTAGTTGTTCGCAAGCGGGCAACACTTTTACGCAATAAACTGTTATTTTTCTCCGTCTTCAATATATATGTATATAAAAGGAAAATATATATAATATAAATTATAAAAAGAGCTGTAAATTACATTATAAGAAATACGATGACTGTTTCCTCTTACCCGATTTTTTGTGGGAAGAGAAAAGTTAGCACAGAAAAGTTTTCGACAAATACGGAAGTGTTAGTTCAGCGTAATGATTGTTAAAACATATAAAATCTATTAAACACAGGCAAGTTGTACTTCAAAATTCTTAAAAGAGTTTATTCATTCTTTCTAGAGCTCAAAACATTTCACTCAAATTAAAGTACGTTCCTTTATAAAGGTATGTTTGTTTTTTCAAACCAACCAACCTTTTGGACCTTTTACAGGTGCCACGGTCACGACTGACTTAACATTCATTTCTAATGGGCAATATAAATAAGTAAATACACCATTTTTATTTAACATGAATACATTGAAGACATGTATATATAAAACAAATTTATTGGGTTTTTCTATAGAAATGATGAAATACAAGCGTATTATATATTGGCGTTTTTTGTACCAATCTTTCCTCTCTACTACACATTATTTCTTTTTCACGTACACACTCATAGCATGGCACTGAGGAAACCCTGTGTCTCGGGTGCCATGGACACACACATAGGCAACCACAAATTACACCCAATCTCACGAGAGAAATAAATGTAGGCCATACATATATTTCTCTCTGAGGCAGTTACTGCATTCCGGTTCTGAAAGGTAAGGGTTACAGGCACATGGCACTTGTCAACTTATGTTTCAGGGCGACGGGCGTAGTGGCAGTGCTCTTCAAATGTGTGTGATTTGAACTATGAATAGGCGTATGGCTTATCACCAGACGCGGTGCATGACTTGTTCGTCTCGTCATATGGTATCATAAAAAAGCTGCTTAAGCGCCAAATCCCAGGGAGCGCCTCGGTGATGAAGCGGTAAAAATAAACAAAAAAATTTTCGCTTTTCGATATTTTAGTTTTCTATATATCTTTATTTATCTACAAATACAGAGTACACGACATTGACTAAACGGCATGGAGATGCCGAAATAACAAAATACTTATTGGTTAAAGCTCCATTTCCCTCCATTTTAATGCATGACAAAAGTTAACATATAAGAAAAAATATTGCGGCTGGGTTTAGTCCGTAATGTCCTTGTTACAATGCTTACAATCACAAAAGTAGTCTTTGTAATCTCGACGACAATAATAATGTTTTAACTTCGTGTCATTTAAGTACACGAAGTCATTCATTTTTTGAAATCTAATGTTATTTTTTATCTCGTTGTTATTTGGCTAAGTTTTTCTCATTACAGTTATATTCTATTCGACGACCTCGATGGCCCAACTGTCTGCAATGTGGTCGCTGGATAAGGAAGCCCCGGAACCCGCGACGTCCACATCTAACGTCCAACTTTTTTCTACGATTACGCTTTGACTTTCGGTTTTCATTACATCAGCTCAAAGTAACACATTCTGTATGACCGTTGTTCCTTCGATCAGGTTTACACGTCATCATGTCGTACAAGATGAGGTCCAACATCATAATCAATACTGATGTCCTTATTATAAACAACATAAACGACATTTTACCAAAAATCTGATCTGATCTACAACCCCCTATAACCGGTTTTCTTCATATCTTATTCAGTTCCAGTTTTATAGTTAAGCAAAATCAGCGTATTATTTAATGAAATAAAATTTTAGGTGCCAATATCTTGAATGTTACCAAAATGGAAATTGTTTATGACAAGAAGAGCAGAATATCAGTCATCCCGTAATAAATCTCGTGCACAAAATCCATGGCGACCTTTATCCATGGTCATTAGGTTCGTTTTAAATTGGCAATTAACGGTCGAACACCAACACGGAGTACAGATTTGATATTATATTTTATTTTTCTCCCAGTTCACCTCGTTTTCGCGGATTCCACCTGACTCAGTATCCGGAAGCGATTCAGTGCAACGTCTTTTAAGATCGTCATCTCTATAATTTAAAAATTTTGTTAAAATTATGTGCAAAAAATGGTTATAACCTTACTTATACGGAGTTATTCTTAAAATAATAAAATCGCACGATATATTTTAATTCCAAAATCATATCAGAGGTTTTATCGATTGGTATACTAAAGAGCAGTCGGCTGTTCCTTAAAAAAACGGGAGAGCCCAAAAACACACATCAAGGTCGCCCTTTTAATGTAATAATAATAATGATAATGATAGTGATAATGATAGTGATAGTGACAGTGATCATGACAGTGACAGTGACAGTGTCAGTGACAGTGACAGTGACAATGACAATGACAATGACAATGACAACGACAATGACAATGACAATGACAATGATAATAATAATGGGTAAGGCCAATCAACGAACATATTGATGTCACAAATATGATCACAACTTATATATTACATAATTTTTTATATACTTACTAACTTTGAATATTTATATACATAAGTAAAGTTACTGTAGCAGCCAGAATCAAAGCAAAGTATAAGAATATGGTATTTGAGTTCTTAGGTTTTCGCGATTGTTACACATAGGAAATCAAACTATTTTTCCGGATTTAAATAGCGTATATTTGTTTTTTCAAATAAACCGACGTTTCGAGCCCTTAACAGGTCCCATGGTCACGGTTGACTGAGGTGGTAGTCTTCAACCAGTTATGTCTAATATTGATGCAAACCACCCTACTTTTTTTCACTATAGTTACAATAGTTATTAATTGAATACCATATTTTTAATTTTACAAAGAAAACATTACAATTTACGCTACATTGAGTTTTACAAATTATTTTATTGAATGAATTTTTATTAAGTTCAATTTATTATTAATTAATAATAGAAATTAGAATAAACTAAAACATATTAATTAGTACTGCAGTCTTATGTCTGTTTGGGATTTTTCATTTGGGATGCAAACCACTCTTTTTTTTTTTACTATAGTTACAATAGTTATTAATTAAATACCATATTATATACCATATATACTGCAGTCTTATGTCTGTTTGGCATTTTTCATTAGAGGAAATACTGGATCCCAAACTGGTGGTACCGAGAAACCATCTTGCCTGTTGAAATTAGGATGTTTTTTTAATTTCAATGGCCTCTCGTAGCAAACTGGGTAGATAACGGACTTCTTTTGCAAGGCCCTGGGGTTTGTCAAACTTCATTGAATGTGTAGGTTTATCCATGACATGCTCGCAGACTGCAGACTTGTATACGCGACGGTGTTTGACATCAGCTATATGTTCTTTGACGCGGGTACAAATACTTCGCTTTGTTTGTCCAATATAAGAGAGACCGCACACACAGTCAAGCTTGTAAACTAAAAAATCCTAATTTCAACAGGGAAGATTGTTTCTCGGTACCACCAGTTTGGGATCCAGTATTTCCTCTAATGAAAAATCCCAAACAGACATAAGACTGCAGTACTAATTAATATGTTTTAGTTTATTCTAATTTCTATTATTAATTAATAATAAATTGAACTTAATAAAAATTCATTCAATAAAATAATTTGTGAAACTTAATGTAGCGTAAATTGGAATGTTTTCTTTGTAAAATTAAAAATATGGTATTTAATTAATAACTATTGTAACTATAGTGAAAATAAATAGGGTGGTTTGCATCAATATTAGACATAACTGGTTGAAGACTGTACCACCTCAGGCAACCGTGACCATGGGACCTGTAAAGGGCCCGAAACGTCGGTTTGTTTGAAAAAACAAATGTACGCGATTTAAATTCGGAAAAATAGTTTCATTTCCAATATGGTATTTGGTTTACACACTGCATTAGAAAATTTAGAATTAAATTTGATTTAGTTTGACTAATTGAATTAATTAAAGGACTAAGATTTTTACTATCACTAAAGTTTATTATCGACTGATTGCCAATTCAAATACCTAGTAAGGTTCTTTAAGTTCTTTAAAACCTAGCAAGTCTTATATAATTGCTATGTTTTGCACTGGTTAAAGTGACAAGTTTGGTTAAAGTGATAAGTAAGTACTTGACCAAATTAAAGTCGCAGGTATGATTGTAGGAACTGGGCATATGCGTGGCATATTGGATGAAGATTCTGTCCCACCTACAGCGTATAATTCCACGCCTATTGCTTATGCTTCTACTGCAACTAATCTTGGCTTGCTTTTATATTGTAATTTGGTTTGGACTCCACATGTCAATGAAGTCAGTCGTAAAGTCCATTTCTTCTTGCACTCACTTAAGCGCCTCCAAAAAGTTTTACTTTAAAAACTAAGATTTGTTTAGTCCAAACACCTATTTTGCCCTTCTTAGACTATGCTGATACCTGCTATTTGGATGCTACTGAAGACCTGCTAAATAAGCTTGAACGACTGCAAAACCTTTGTATAAGGTTCATCTTTGGGCTTCGTAAATATGACCGTATTTCACATTTCCGCAGTCAGCTGAAATGGCTTCCTATCCGTCTCCGCAGGAATTTGCATATTTTGTCCAATCTTTATAATATTTTACATAACCATGTGTCTCCCGGGTACCTGAAAGAGCGTTTCAGCTTTCTTAGGTCCCAGGATACACCCTGTCGCTCTCTTGTTAGGTCCCTGTTATCTTTTCCATGCTTCAATTCTGGTTTCTGTTCTCACTCCTTCACTGTTCATACGGTCAGGCTTTGGAATACACCTCCTATTACTGTTCACGAAAATAAATCGTTAGCTATTTTTAAAATGAGAGTTAAAGAGCATTATTTGTCTACTATTCCATCCATATATAAAAAACAATGTCAAATGTGAAAAAAAGGGTGAAAAGCTTCATTCGCATTATGCTTTCTTTTAATTTGGTCGAGTATTACTTATTTCACAGTAATTGTTTCGGCCGAATATCGGACGGAGAACGAGAGTACAGTACCAGACTAAGTGTATTTTAGAATGTTTTAAGCTTTCGAAATCTCCGATAAACTGTAGAATTTTGAATCGACTGCCACCGCAATAGTACTTACTATGGGAGTAATCCGTTAAAAATGATTTTCAAAATTTTTTATCATTTCTTGGCCTTAAATTTTTTTCAGGCCACTTTAAGCAGAGGTTAATAAGTGTGGTGACTACTTCGTCTTGTCAGCTTTCAGATAAGATTATAACTCACTCATTCAAAGTCTGCTCAATGCTGCATTCGATGAAAAAGGGGTGATATATAGTGCTCACGAACAAATTCGGCGGCAAACATCTGTTAAGTTCATTGTAGATATTTGTTATTGCCACTCCTATTACCACTTCTGTGTCTCCTAGCCATGACACCAGGGGACTCCCATGATCGTTCTGTTGACAAATTTGTGGAGATTAATAAGGCTGTAGCTGCATCTACCAACCAAACCGACACTTCGAAACTCAATCAATCGGCAAGGGGAAAAAGCAATGCTGGTGTGCCTGTGTCTGAAGTTTGCAAAACCATAGAGGTAGAAGAACTGGTGCGACGAGAACTTCACAAAGTTGGAGAAGAGGAAGAGGAAGTCAACTATCGTAACCGTAACAATCCGACCATACCGATGACGTTGCTATACCTGTCGCGACTGCTCTGAAGTCAGAGGAGACAGTGGAGTATATCAACTAATCCCAATTACACACTGAGGGTCGAGCGGTGGTGTCCCGCCATAACCTGAATTTTATTAATTCGTTTGTGGTGAGAGTGCCAACCCAACATCTGTCGACCTTCACGAAGGAGGAGTTTTGACCGAAGGGTATCGTGTATCGATTCCGCGGCCGATTACCTGACACCAGATAGCACCACACGTCGCCGACAAGTGCAATTCGCGTAGATTAGTTATTCACTTTTTATATTTGTTATATTTATCGAGTATATAACCAGAAATAGAGACGAAATGTGATTAAGGGTCGTATTCCAGAACTCTACTCAATACTCAAATCAGGACTTGAGTATTGCAGTGAGCACTGAAATTCATACTCAAGTCCTTGCCATTAGGGTCGCATTTCCAGTGCTTGAAATCATACTCAAGTCTGCTCAAATCCTGACTTGAGCGTTGAGTAGAATTCTAGAATACGACCCTTAATTTGTTTGAAAACTATTCCGTTATATCATTACATGATTTCGAGATTCGAAAGAATTCGAAACAATTGACGGGTGTCGTTAATTGTTTCATTTCAAATCGACCAGTTTAACTTGAGCTTTGCTATAATGGACAAAAACTGAAAAATTATGTATTCAATATTTAATTACCGATGAAATGTGATTCCGTTTGTTTTGTAATTAGATGTTTTGCTGTTTTTCTCACACCATCGAATGGAACAGCCCTATAGTTAGAGATATTATCTTTATTACAATAAATACAGAATATTTTTGGAATATACGAAGACGTACACACATGTCAGTTGTTATCGCTATACTATTTCAGTTTTCTAAATTATAATTTCAGTGCAAAATGGGAGTTGATATTTAAAATTGATATAAGGCCCATTTACCTGATGAATTGCCAGGGATGGATGGCCCTTATTTCGTCTCTATTTCTGGTTATATACTCGATGATTATATTATATGCATGTTAGTCCTTATGGTACATATATATGTATGGCTCACAGTTGCCTGATTCAAATTAATAAATAAATAAAAATAATAATGTGCCAGATAACAATATAAAATTAAGGTATTCCATGTAGTATGAGTACGAGAGCCACATAATATACTAGCCGGAACATTTAGATTAGAACCTATTTACTGCCTCCGGGCCAAACGGTTACTATGCTGGTCTGCCACGCAGAGGTTCCGGGTTCGATTCCCGGGCCGGGAGAAATATTTGTATGGTCTACATTTATTTTTTCTCGTGAATTTGGGTGTAATTTGTGGTTTGCGTCCATGGCACCCGCGACACAAGGTGTTCCTAGTGTGTAAAAAAAATAATTAGAAGATGAAACTTGATTAAGGAGGCGAAATTAACACGTATTGGGATAGGATTCTAAACAGGTTTAGAAAAGTTCTTTTCTCAAATTTATCCTGCCTTTTGCAAATGTCAAATTGGAATTCCTAGTGCAAACCGTTGGGCAACCGAAGTCTTCAAGTGTTAATATTGATTTGCAAATTTTCAACAGGAGTTTGAACAACAAAATTTTTAATAAACTTATAGAATATCACGATGTTTTTCTACAACGATATTCAATTATTTTTGTAAAAGTACCCCACTAGTTTGTTATTATTATTAATACAAAGATCGAATAAAAAGAAAAATACCTGCGATCCGGCTGGACTCGAACCAGTTACCTCGCCATACCGGTGCCATCGCTCTCCAAACTGAGCTACGGAACGAGTCAGCTGACCTTACGAATTTCTTTACGTGTTTGTTCCAGATCTTTTGTTTTTGATTTCATCGACTTTTTTGCCATAGGCGGCGACTTGCGGGAAATCTATGAAAGTTTTTCTTCACTCAGCTAGGTACCTTGTTAATAGTGGATGAGTTTCACAAAAATAATTAGATATCATGGCAGTAAAAGATCATGATATTCAATAAACTTACGTTATAATTAATAAAGCATAAAATAATAAACATCTCTAGTCAGCAGCTGGTAGCTTTAAAGGTAACATGGCTAACTATATATCGAGTTCTTACATTTTCGCGATTGTTACAAATAGGAAATAAACTATTTTTCCTGATTTAAATCGCGTACATTTGTTTTTTACAAACGAACCAACGTTTCGGGCTCTTTACGGGTCTCATGACCATGGTACAGTCATCAACCAGTTAAGTGAAATAGTTTCATTTCCTATGGCTAACTATTTATTTATTTGCAAATAAATTTTATATTAAAATCAAACAAGTTATAGCAGTGCGGTGATATAAACTTTAGCTTTTACTTGTAGAACTAAGTTATGAATCCTTTAAAAGTCATAACCACTCTTAAAAAAACAAAATTTCGAGAAAAAATGTGAGAAGTCCTTGAGCTTAGTTTTAATATGGGATCAAATCAGGAGAAGGTCGCGTTTGTAGGCAAGCTATACTATATACCTGGCAAATACTTTGTCTCCTGAGGATTTTGTGCATGACTCTTCTGCAAGCGCTTCTTTTCGCATCCTGACTCGTGAAAGCATATTTATCTTTTAAATCCTCCATTATTGTTTTCAAGAAATCCATTGCGGATTTTCGAGTAAATTCACGATTATCTATTGCATCGTAGTAGTCATTTAAATCGATTTCTTCCACCTGTGGGGCAACATAAAATACGTGTAACGCGATTTTTGTACATTCAGTCGTCATGTCTGAAATTCAAAATTCAAAAAACTTTTAACTATTGCCCGCAAGCAGGGCCCCAATTCTGCCAAACTTAAATCATCTCATCTTAACGGGCCGCCGCGTAGACCAAATTGAAGCCAGGCCGCTCGCGTGCCCGGGACGCTCATTTAAGTTAAAACGTAAAAGCTAAACATTTAGAGCGTACTTTGCCATAACTGCGCGGCGGCAACGCGGACTCCGCTCTTTGACCGCGCGGACTCCGCTCGGCGACCGCGAGGCGGTCGCGCGGGGTGAGCGCGGTGAAATTCGTGTGAAATAAATGCGCCCTTAGAGTGTTTGCCAGGATTTTGTACGTTTGGTATTCTGTTATAAGTCAAGAGTAGTGGCTTGTCAGTGGCTACTCATCGAGCTACTATTCAAATGTAGGGCTAGCACGGTAGGGCGAGACTTGCGCGAGAGAGACGTAAAGCGCGAGCAGTATCTGTCGCTTTATGTCGCTCTCGCGCTGGTCGCGCCCTACCGTGCTAGCCCTACTGCCATCGCAATTTTTAACCGACTTCAAAAAAAAGGAGGGGTTCTCAATTTGACTGTAAGATTTTTTGTACGTACATATGTGATGCGATGACTCTGGCATTTGTGAACCGATTTTGATGATTCTTTTTTTTTGTTGGAAAGAGGGTGCCTCAGCAGAAGTCACATTTCAATTTGAAGAAAATATTTCACCTCTAAGGGTGGCAAACTAGGGGATGCACCGGTTTCGCGCTCTTTCCGGTAACCACTGTCAATAAAATGGACTTTATCAAAAGGTAGTTAATGGACTTAATGGACGTTATCAAAAGGTAGTTATACAAAATTCGGATGGTACAAACATCGAATCAGGCCTCAAGACAATCCGAAAAGGCGTCCCGCAAGGCTCCATTCTTGGACCGTTACTTTTCATCCTGTATAGTAGTGATCTGGCTAAATGTGTTTTGAATTGCCGGTATCACTTGTATGCCGACGATTTGCAGATATACATATCATGCAATGTAAGTGACGTGAACTCTATGGTTAGCAAGTTAAATGAGGATCTGAGTCGTGTTTCTGCTTGGTGTTCTTCAAACAGCCTCGTTTTAAATGCGACGAAATCAAAATATGTCATACATGGCTCCCGTAGTCAGGTCCAAAAGATTATAAGTGCTGATCCACAAATTATTATAGGAGGTGTGGCTATAGAAAGAGTTAGCTCAGCTAGGAATCTTGGGCTGCAAATGGATAGTGAGCTACGTTTTGAAAATCACATATTGGATGTCACACGCTCTTGCTTTTATCGACTAAAAGTTCTGTACAATTTTCGGTCCTATATAAGCCAGGAGCTGAGAGTTCTGCTTTGTGAGACACTGGTATTGTCTAGGCTGAACTATTGCATCACAGTATATAGTGGCTGTCTAAAAAAAAGTTCTCAAAAATTGATCCAGCGAGTGCAAAATTCCTGTGCTCGCTATTGTTTTCGAATCCCTCCTCGCACACATATCACGCCTTATCTCAACAAATTTGGCATACTGAAAATGGATGCTCGTCAGAAATTGTATTTGGCCTGCCTAATGTTTGACATTATTAAAACCCGGAAACCAGATTATTTATACCAGAAAATCGATTGGTCGCGTCCTGTGAGGGGAAATACGTTACGATTGGTTTCAAGAAATGTCATAAACATCCCAAAACACAAAACGGCTGCTTTTCGCGGAGGTTTCAGGTATCGCGCCAGTAAGTGCTGGAACGATATTCCTCCTCCATTGCGTGACGTCACGCGTAAGCTACAATTTAAGCGTGAATATAAAAAACTTCTTTTGTCTAAACAGATATGTACTCGTATTATATAGTAACTCATAATTCTTTAATTCCCCTGAATCTGATACCTGTAAACCTAAAACTAAAAATCAAATAACCAAAAATTAATATTATTGTATTTGTATTTTATATGTATGTGTGGAAATGAGTTTTATTATTATATATTGCTTGCGCATCAGGCTTGACACTATGTTTTGCTCTTAACAATGTTTAACGTATTGACATATATATGTATTTTCTATTCTTTTTTTTTTTTGTTTTTGTGTTATATATATTTGCGTGTGATCATCACTTTCATCATCACTTTGATGGCATGGCTTATTGAGGTGCGATCGCTCACCATAATATGGTACTGGCAGAAAACCAGCGCTGATAGACTCTTTTCACGGTCTACAGTAATTATGCTGAGCCAGGGCCATTTCAGTACAAACTGTTGCATTTTAGGTATGACCTAGATGTTTTATGTAAAAATGTTGTAATTTTTGTTCTATGTTGTTTTGTGGTGTACCTTGTGATGTAATTGTAAATGTTTTGTTTCTGCTTGTGTTTGTACTGAATAAACGCTTTATCTATCTATCTATCTATCTATCTATCTAAAACTTGACAAATAGATGTGATTCCATGAATTTTTGAGGTCGGCTTTTTTTTGTATTCTGCTCTTCAATGGCGAACCGATGGCACGTTGTTGACAGCGTATTCTACTAATTAAGTGCCTTAAAAAATACACTTTTAATTAGAACACTAAGTTGCTGATTAAATGAGATAAAAATTAAGATATGCTTAGTCATTTCTTTTTTTTTTCCATTTGAATGAATGAATGCCATCACTGCCATTCCACTGACAGTCTCCTAGCCATTTCAACTGGATTTTAGCAGAATAACAAATATTATCATACTTGCAATATGATCTATATGGAGTCTCAATATAATTCACACTTAACGTGGATAAAACTAAAGTCGTACCATTCTCGATTCGTACCCATACTCTACCACAAAACTTACTCAAAATTGCTGTCATCTCCAATCAAGTTCCGAAATCTGAGGCTGTCTTTTTGAAAACTACAAACTGCATAAAATATTTTGGGATACTACTTGACTCTGATCTCAATTTTAGACAATACATACATACTCGTTATCAGCGCGCATCCGTAAGCTGATTTATATTTTTAAGTGTCTTCGTCATGTGGCAGACCCTAACATTATGAAAATGGTGTACCTTGCTCTGGGACAAAACCTACTGACCTATTGTATTTCAACTTGGGCTGCTAAGAGTCATTTCCTTCTTGTAGAGAGAGCACAAAGAGTTGTCCTAAAGGTTGTCTGCTTCAAGCCCTACCGGTTTCCCACAAGTGAACTTTACGCTTACTGTCAGGTCCACACTGTTCGACAGCTATTCATTCTCTGGACTGTGTTGAAGCAACATTCCCTCACACCCTATGACAGTGCCTCAAATAGACGACATTGCTTAGTGGTTTCTTGCGACCGTTTCACTGCATTCAGTCATGGATTCTTCTGCTTCCTGGGATGTTTTCTATATAATAGATTGCATCGCGAACTCAACATAATAAATTTTATAGGTTTAAATAAATTTGAATGTATCTCATCCAATATTGTGACTCAAGGTTTTGCTGATCTGTAGGATTACCATGTATTTATACGTGCATATACACGCACACGCAGGCAACAAGCACACGCACGTCCGCCCGCCCGCACGTACGAAAGCACGCACGCACGCACGCACGCACGTACGCACGCACGCATGCACGCACGCACGCAATCACGCACGCACGCACGCACGCACACACGCACACAAATTTAAGTTTTACTTTCTGTTTAAAAGTACAATTTATAATTAAATTCATCTATCTAATGTACAATAGTGTATAAGTCTAAAAAAAATTTTTTCTTCTTTTTTGCAATGTTTAATATTTTTCTTAGTAATGCTATAATATGGTATGTATTATTCCCAAGGGCGAGGGCCTGGTGACTTGTAGTACAGGTGTTAAGCCTTTAACAAGCACCAGCTCCTACAAAAGCTGTTAATGTTTCTTAAATTGATGAGAACCTTCTGAACGTGTTTTAGTGGAGAAAGAAACATATTATTATTATTATTATTATTATTAATTGCAATGACTAGTGGTTACAAAAAAAGTTAGCAGAAGCAGGTCTCAGGGCTCCGTCACTCGCTCGAGGTTGCGCGATACGTGTCTACCGCTGAGTGTATCGCCGACAGTGCAAGCGCTCAGACAAGTCTTTTATTTAAACATTACAAGTTCTTATACAACCCCAGCATTTGGTTCCGCATGACTGTAAACTAATCACTATTGATGATATGTTTAAAATCAAAAAAGTTATTTGAAATTTAAAGATGCACTTCCCTGAAAATGTCGATCATTGATACCATCACCCTATTGAATTTAACAAAGGTTATTTCAATGTAGCACTAGATTTATTGTGATTTTATTTGACTAAAATAATAGTGTGACAACCCTATGTTTGTTTGTTTGCTTGTTTGTTTGTTTGATTGTTTGTTTGTTCGTTTGCTCGTTCGTTCGTTCGTTTGTTCGTTCGCTCGTTTGTTTGTTCGTTTGTTCGTTCATTAGTTCGTTCATTCGTTCGCTCGTTCGTACGTTCATTCGTTCGTCCATTCGTTCGCTCGCTCGCTCTCTCGCTGCTTGCTTGCTTGCTTACTTATTTATTTCTTTATTTATTCATTTATTCATTCATTTATTCATTCATTTATTCATTCATTTATT